CTTGATTTCCAGCATTCTGAAGTTTTACAATAATGTGCTTTGGGTTGAATGTACTTTTATCCATTTTTCTGGGAACTCTGTGGGTTCATTTGATCCAGAAATTTTGTGGGATATTTTCTTGGATTATTTCTACTGTGCTTTATTTCCTTCCACTTTATTCTATCTGAGCTCCTATTGTTCCAATGTTGGATTTTCTAAACTGGTCCTTTACTGTTTCTAGTTTTCATTTTGCCTATCTGCTCTTTTTGTAAGTTTTCTTCTGGATCTTCTACTAAGTTTTTCAGAGATTTAAAATTCCAAGAGCCCTGTGTGCTCTGTGTGTATTGTCTTATCTGTTGCTTATTTTGAAAGCATCGGTCTTGTCTCTTGGATTATCTTGAATGCAAATACCTTCTGTAGTCCCCTGATGATATCACTAGTCCTATCCTCAGAAGTTCCTTTATGCTGTTTTAGTATTTGATCTCATTAGAGGATTTTCCCAGATTTTTTATTATGCTTGGTTGCCTATTTAACCAAGCGTAACCTGTTTAAGAGTAGGGGATGAAAAGTTTGCTTGAAACACATACATGGAGCCTAGTGACCTATAGGCTTCACTGTAGAGAGATCAGCATCTTAGTCTTTCCCCTATGTCTGGGCAGACACCTCAGATAAGATTCTTGAAATTTCCTACAGGGCTGGGGGTGGGGGTAAAAGCCTGGCTCTCATTGTCTGGGAACTAGTAGAGAATACACACACTAATTATTCCTCCTATTTTCCATACTGAGCCTTTGTGCTCAATAGGACTTGGCATCCCTCAATCAAGAAACCCCTGTTTTACTCTTCAGAGAACAAACTAACTGGATGGGCATTCTCTTAGGAAGAAGGGTTCTAGAGTTTTAACAGCTACTTAAATGGATTTCAACCAATTCTACTTATTTTAGTATTTTTTCCTTTGCCCCCAGTAAGGTACCAGCTATTCCTAATTCCTTTCAAGGCTCCTACAGTGCAAACTGGATTGGCTCTTGAGTCCCCAATGCTGGAATATGATAAAACTGCTAACTCAATCATCATGCTTAGTAATAGCCAGCATCTGAAACAGTTCCTCAAGTCAATGTGGATTTGTATTGGAGAAAACCACGGTCTCTTTACAGTAGTCTTAGTGGAGTTTTGGGAGTCAAATTAGATGTTTATTCCATCTGCTACCTTTCCAGAATCTTTTTCTTTTATAGTCCCCAAATGATTGAAGTTCACCTGAAACAACTGCTCTAATACAACTGTGGGTTCACAGTTGTGAGTATAAAAAAGAGTTTATTCTTATATTATTATTTGTTCTATTATTTTCCACACTAACAACTATAAACCTATTTTTGGCCCACCCTATACGTTGGTGACTCTGGGCAAATTGTTTAAATATGGGCAATAGGAACCAAAATGACTGCACTTCCTATCATTTGAATATTGTGAAAAATAGGTAAAATGCATATCCATTCATGAAGAATATGCTATATCAACCTAAGGTTTATTGCTATCTTCTTATAGGAAGATACTATTTAATGAGTAGTAGGATGAGTTGTTTTTCCACCAAAGATGATGCACTGTATGATGATCTCTCCTTGTCCCTCATTTACAAATCAGCCTTTGGATTAGTAATACAGTGCACAGATTTACTGTATGTTTTTCCAAGACAGGTAATCATCAATTCACTTAAATAAAATGTAATAAAATAGTGACTTCAGGCTCCTTATGTTCTAACCTAAGCAATGAAGACATTATGCTGTTTAGGTATGTGCTGTTGATATATGTGTGTAACTGTGAATGAGTTTTTAGTATAAATATTCTATATCTCCTTCCAAGCATCTGGATTATGATAACAGCAAGTTAGCAGACCACACCATTCAGAAGAGACAGGAAATTAATATTCCCAAGAAAAGAGGAAATTAGATAATACTGGAGAGGGTGAGGCATTCAGCTCCTAATTCAATTTTTTTTATTTAACACGGTATTATCACCTTCAAAGTGTTGGGTAAATATTAAGCTTTCTTTTCACACCTTCAAAGGCTTAAAGTACTACACAGGTAGCTGTAGGCCACCTGCAGCTCCAAAATGCTTTAATTATAATTTTAAGGCCATAATTCTACTAACAATTGGTATTTAGGAACCCTGGATTCTAGTCCCAGCTCTGGATTCTTTTCCAAAGTGGCTGTGTGATCTCAGGCATGATATGCAGATCTGCTTGGACTATTAATCTATGAAACCGTTATTCCTATCACTCTCTCACCATTATTTCCTATTGCTGGCAGAGAGCAAAAGTAAACAGAAGTTATTTATTCATTTAGACAATATAAATATATTTTAAATACTAATGTCAACATTCTTTGGTCTGGTCAGCAGAAAATTTAGTCTGAATACCCATCAACTGCATGGAAATCTTACCTCTACAGCTATCCGTTTTACCAAACTATATAGTAATTAAAAGTATATTTAATGTAAATTTGTTAAATTTAATATAAATACACAGTAATGTAAAAGGACATTAAATTTACTTTTCTTTCACCTCAAGTTGTTAGGTAATATGACTCCCATCCAAACCATTTTTTTGTTAATCTTTAGATTTAAATTTTTAATGAAATGACTTTTTGGGTGGGGTTTGAGTATTGAATCGTGCTATTTTTTTTTTATATCTCTAGTGATCAGGATCTCATCTGTGAGATAAAATGATTTTTGTAAAATATTTCATTATTTGTCATATTGGTCAGTCATAAAGTGAGCCTTATTGTGCTGCAGCAACTAGATTTTTCTTATTGTGCTGCAGCAACTAGATTTTTCTACCTCATCGAAGAACGTTTTAATAAGTTGTAGTGGTCATCAAAATGGTTTCAAGACTAGAATGTAAAGAAGGGGATTTCACATTCTACTCAGAATTACCATAATATATTCATTGGGTAGTATTTATGTATGATCTGCATGCTTCTGTTGTGCCTTGATTCAAACCCTAGTCTTGCCACTGTCTTGCTCTGTGCATTCTAGGCATGCCATTGAATTGGGGGGTCAGCTGCCAGTCATTTCAAATGTGTTGTGAGAATAAAATGAAGTCAACAAAAATATTCTAAAAAGAATAAAGGAAATTAATATACAAATATCACTGCTGTGTCTAATTAGCTCAATTTTTTAACTGCCTGCATGGGGTTGGGAGGACTGAGTCCCCACTCTTATTTTATTCCATTAGTTTCTCTGTAAACCCCATCCTACCTTTCACAGAACCAAAAAAGCCCAAGGATACCTATACATTAGTACACGTACTTCACTATCACCAGAAATAACCTCCTCATTAATTTTCTCAGGCCCTGCTTTCAACCAGGCGGGACATCTATCATAGTGCAAGTCTCAAGACATGTTTTACTTTTTGTGTACCTATCAAGATTTTTCTTTTGTGAGGCAATACGAAGAACAGAAATCTGGAAGATTAAGGATGCACGAGTCACTGTTCTCTAATGGCTTTCTTAGCCTACAGGTGGGAATTGCTCATAGTCGATGGTCACCACAGATGAAGTCAGCAGTTATCATCGAAAGCACAGACCACGACATGCACTCTGTGAGGCGTCATTCTTTGTCATCTCGCTGGTAAATAGCCTGCAAATGTCAGACAGGTGTTCAGGAAAAGAATGGGAAATTTCTAGTCACAAGTGCCTGTACCTTACACAGGAAACCGACTGGGGGTGGGGCCGGCTTTCATTCGAGTACTCAGCATTGCTACACTGTGCCAGAGCCGATGTCTTGTAGGGAAGGCTGCAACAGCCTTGGCTCTGGTTGAGTGGGCTTTTTTACTCAGGGAAGGGAGAAACAAAAGTGGCATTTCTGCGATATGACAAAACAAGCCCGTTACAGTCACGTACATCTGCAACATGCATCCCTCGGGCAGTTTCTTCCCAATCCCCTCCCTTAAAGAGAAAGCGTGCGCCCATGAGGGCCCATTACCATCCTGCAGGATGAGGGTGGGCTGCACCGCTTGCACTCGGAACTGCCTGGCCCTCCAGCCGGGGCTGGGAGCCCGTACCACCTCACTGTCGGACAACCAGGTCACAGTCTCAAAGTTGTCCCCGCGAGCCAGTGCCTCGGCCTCGGCATGGTGCACCGCCACTCTGTCAAACTGGTAAAGGCCGCCGGAGTGGTCGAAGTGCACGTGGGTGGCCACAGCCATCAGCGGCCGGCACCCTGCATCCTCTTTGGCCCCGCTGTCCTGCAAGAGGCCGGAGGAGTATAGGTACTCTGGAAGGCTGCGCAGTCCCAGGCCTGTGTCGATTACAACGTCCTGCTCGGAGCCGCGCACCAGCCAGATATTTGCGCGGTTACCCGACTCGTAGAAGCGTTCCTGAATCCAGAAGATGCCATCGCCCAGAGACTTGTGGGCGTACCACTCTAGCGCCGACATGCTGGGCAGGGGTGCTGCTGGGCGTAGTGGTTGTGGGCGTGTGTGCCTCCCGCAGGCTATCCAGACTCCAGGCGCTGAGGCGGCGTGGGACGATCTGCCCCGCAGCTAGGGAGGAGGCGCAGAGCCAGGCAGAGGCGCAGAAGTAGGAAGAGGGAGGTGCGGAGACGCCACCTAGAGCGTCCAGCCACACTAGGCACTCTCCGGCTGGTCCGCAAAGAACAGAGGCTGCTCTGCCAGCACCCGGGTGCCGGAGCAATCGCAGCTTCGGCAGCCTCAGCACGAGAAGCGTGAATGCCAGGGATACTTAGGAGGCAACACTTTCCGCAACTCGGGGGTTCTGACTGCAGAGGCCAGGAGCGATTCTTAGGATGCACCAGGTCCGCCCACACACCACGCACCAGGATGCGCGCTTCCAGCCGGCGCGGGAAGAGTTACGCCCAGAGAGGTTGGTCCACTACGGCGCCTGCCAAGGGCTAAAAAGCTTCTTGCCCAGAGGGCGGAGCCTAGCTGGGGAGTGGGCGGAGCTAACTGTTGAGGATCGGAACTCGGCTCCGTGGCGGCGCTGAGGGCGGAGCGCGCTTCTCCAGTGGTGGAACCAGTCCCAGATAGCCGGAGCCTTGAGTCTGGTTCATTTCTTTCCCTGCCGGCGCTTCGCCTGCTGTTTTGCCCAAGCCTCGAAGCCTCAGTTCTTAGTGAACAGGTAACAGAAGAAGCAATTGAGGACTTGGGAGGAGATTGAGAGGATAAAAGTGAGTTAAAAGCGGCACGTGGAGGAGGTGGGGGGAAGTCAGGGTGGAGATTCATTAAAGCACTCTGGGTTGAGCGTTGTTGAGAAACAATTTTACCTCTAATCCCTTAAAAATCTTTAAAAATCTCACCTAGTTTCTTCTTCCGGGGACTGTTTGCAGTGAGTTAGAAAGGAATTTATGCTCTTACTGATGGTAGATTTTCAAATCCGGTGATTATGTGATTGATTCAGGCACGAATCATTGCCGCAGACTTTTTTTCATTGTAGGCAATTTATCCTGTACGTTTAGGAGCGGGGTTGTTGATAAGGTTTTTCTTCTCCAAAATTAAAATTCTATATTCTTCCTTCATCCTCTTTTTTTTTCTTTTTTTTTTCTTTTGGGTTATTTCACTCTTGGAAGAGAGCAAAGTTGGTAGAAAGGCTTAACTAAGGAAAGTGAAGGCAGCCACACTTTATGAGGAGAGAAAAAGTGGGTAATAGCTGGGTGTAGCCCTGCCAGCCGCATAAATCACCCCCACTCTTAACATCAGGTCTCTTTCTCCACCCTGCTTGTTCCAGCTATTGAAACATCCATTTAGTGTTCAAAAATTCCCTTGAGAATTTGATTAACCTCCCTAATCAATCAGGAAAAATTAGAGACCCGTGAAGATAGTATTCTAAAAGATAATTATGAAAACTCTTATTGTGGCATGTACTAATAAGTCTACATACAAGGATAGGTATACTCTCCTTCACTACACTCAAAAAGTTTTTGGTGGGGATGCATCCTTTTTGAATATTTTCCTAACCTAGTTAGAATTTTTCCAGTCACTATGTTCAGGACTATCCTTATGTACAAGTCCCGGAGCTAGATGATGTATGAAAAAACTTGTGATGTGGGTTCTCAAGAATATGAGGGAAGACAGTGGGGGATATAAAATGTGTATTGTTAGTACAGTTAATGAAACAAACAATCGAAGTGAAACTCCTGCCTTTTGGAAAAGACCCATTTCCCAAAAGGGTCATGTCTGTATTCCCCATTAGAGGAGCGTAGCCTTATATACCACCTCAAGTTTTAAAAATCCATTTAAAAATCCAGCAGGATCTTTCCAAGAGCAAGATAGGATGAAATTACTGTTGTGGATGTTGGGGGACTTAAACTGGATCTTAAGGTAGAAAGGGTTAAGACAATCAGGGAGAAAGAGGAAGTAGGTTGCAGAGGAGAAAGAATGGTAGTCAAGACATGATTCCAGAAGTATGAGTCTGGAGGAGAGGTGCAACCATCCTAAAAGGGTTCCAAATACTTAGATAGGGAGTTTGGATTTAGTTCTCTAGCCAAGAGGAAAGATGAGAAGAGTAGGATGAGAAGAGTAGCATGATCAGAACTAGGCTTTATAAATATGAATAAGAACATGAATAATGTGCTATAATAAATAAACAGGAAACCATGAAATTTGCAGTTAAACAATAATGAGGTAGAAAATGTCTTAGTTGGATTATAGTAGAATAAATGGAAATGCAGGAACATTTTGAAGGAGAATTAGATTGTTGATAGGAGGGGTGGAACAGAATGAGAAATCAGTACTGACTCACTGCAAATCTTCAAATATTGGTAACTGGGAAAATAACATACCATAAATAGAAGCAGGGATCTTATACATAAAAGGCAAGCTAGTTAGTATAGAGGGAAGACTATCTTAGTATGTTAAGTTTAAGATGCTGTCCAAATATTCTTTTTTTCCCCCTCACCTGATAATAGATTTTTTAAATTGATTTTAGAGAGAGGAACATTGATCGGTTGCCTTCTATAGGCACCCCAACCTGATTGAACCTGCAACCAAGGTATGTTCCCTGACTGGGAATCAGACCACATCCCTTTGATGTATGGGACAATGCTCCAACCAACCAAATCACATGGCCAGGGCCAAATATTTTTTTTGGTAGTAAGCACATGGGCTGAAACTCAGGACAAGATTAGTGCTGGAGGTAATAGTATTGGAAAAGTCATCAAACCCCTAAAGTGAGTTCACTTTCTGAATACAAAAAAAAAAAAAAGCAGACGACCAAAGATTGAACCTTCAAGAAATTTGTATTTAGGCAATTTATAAAGAGAAGTAGACCCAAAAAATGGTCAGTGGGATAGAAAAACTAGAGTTTTATTAAAGCCTAGGAAAGAGAGAGTTTCAAAAGAGAAGAAGCAGTAAAGAGCTGTGTGCTTCAGAAGTCCAAGAGCATGAAGAAAGACAAAAAGGTCGGTGGATTTTTCCATTGAGGACCATTTAGTACCTTTGCATTTCAACATCTTCATGAGTTTAGTCCCCATCACAAGTAAGATAAAAGCCAAACCCTTTACCGCAGCTCTCATAGAGCTCATCAAGATCTGGCCTCAACCAGCCTCTTCTTGCTGCTCATCAACTACATGGGCTCCTTATTCTTCAGACACTCCCAGCTTGTGGCATCCTCCTCTGTGCTTGCTGTTAGCTTTCTCTATAATCATCTCTACCCCATCCCTCCATCTAGTGGCTCACTGGCCTTCTCCAGCACACTGCTCAGATTTTTCCTCCACGAAAAGACCTTCCTTGTATGAAAAGCCACTGCCATATTTCTTTGTTATTCTTTGATTTATTTTTTTAATACTTGATCTTTGTTATACCATGATTTATTTTTTTCAGAGCTGTATTGATTTCATAGGGCTGCCATAATATATTACCACAAATTGAATAGCTTAAAACAACAGAAATTTATTCTCTCACAGTTCTGGAGGCCAGATGTCTGGAATTACAGTGTTGTTGGGGTTTGTTGAGGGAGAGTCTGTTCCTTACCTCTCTCCTAGCTTCTGGCGTTTCCTGGCATTCATTGGTGTTCCTGGCTTGCAGCACTGCCATCTCTGCCTCCACCTTTCATGCTGTTTTCCCTGTGTGTCTCTCTCTTTCTGTCCAGGTTTCCCTCTTATAACGATACCAGTCATTGGAAGAGGGCTCACCCTAGTTCAGTATGACCTCATCTTAATTCAATTACATCTACAAAGAGTTTACTTCCAAAAAAGGAAGGTCACATTCACAATTATTGGCAGTTAGGACTTCAACGTTCTTTTGGAGGGGACACAATTCAACTCAAAACAAGAACAGATAATATTATTTTACATACTTACTTGTTTGTTGTTTGTTCTTTCCTCCACTGAATTTAAGACCTGAGGGCAGCGGCCAGTTTTGTTCAAGCAGTCTGGGTCCTGCCACAGTGGCTGGAATGCTCTGTATTGGTTGAATGAATGACTCAATGAAATTGGCCCACATGAAGTAACAGAAGATTTGGAATGAGAAAATGGGGAAACCTAGTTTTATAAACCCTTCAAGAAGTTTGGCAGGTGAAAAAGAAATAAAGCAATTGTCAAATCAACTTAAAGGATCTCAAGGAGTTAACTAGCCCATCAGATAGTTACCAGAGTCAAGAGACTGCCACTCAGCTCTGCAAGAGAAGAAAAAAAATGGATTTAGAAGCTTCCCCAGGTACTGACTCATGATAATCAAGCTGAAGGAGTTGGATTTGTAGGTCAGAATGTCATGTAATTAATCATTAGGGTGCCTCAAGAACTAGGAATGATTTTTCTGCCAAGGGCAGTATATTCACTAGTGATAGCACTTATACACCCAAAGGTTGCTTGATAAATACAGAAGTTTAGAAACAGTAGGTTTTGCTATTTCTCAAGGGATTGTCCATCAAGCTATGGTAGCCAATTGACTCTCTTTCTAGGGTGAGTTTTCTGCTACTTCTCAGGGCCCAGCTCTGAAGATTCAGGTGTAGTAGGTTTAGGGACTCAAGGATCACTTGGGAATCTGTTTAATAAATCTTCCAGGTAATTCTCATGATCTGGGAAGTTTGGAAGACATTACCTAGAATTGTTCTTATTCTTTAATTAGTGGCAAATCTTGGATTGGAATTCTGCCTAGTGGTCTCTACCATATCTACTGGGTTCCCACAATTCATTTCTGTTTAGCAATATTCATACTTGGGAGACCTGCTCTCTGTAAACTCAGCATATCCTTTAATAACTCAGCAATTGAAACGAGGCCATTTGGATATTTTCCTTCTCCTTTAGTGTGGACAGCTGAATGAGCCTGGCTATTAAAATAAATACCTTTCCTATATGAATTGTATTTTGTAGTAACTAAATAGTGGATGTGGGGAACTTAATACTAGATGAAATAGACTGATAGCACCTGAACCCACTAATCAGAGAACATCACTGGGACAGACACTTCATGTATGTCCTGATATGATGCTGTAGTGAAAACAAGCATCTCTTTTAAGTATTCCTGCAAAAAATCAAACCCAAATTTGAGTAAGCCTCTAGTCCGCCTGCTCATAAAAAAAAAAAATGGGGGAATGGGGGAGGGGGGTAGAAGGTGGAAAACTGTACTTGAACAACAATCCATTTTTTTTAAAAAAAGAAAATACGGCAAATAGAAGAATGTGTTAAACCACATCTCCTGTATGCAACCATTCAAATCCAAACTAGGACAGTGTACAACCTTGCTACTCTCTTAAGTATAGTCTGCAAACCAGCAGCATTGATATCTCTAGAGAGCAAATTGGAAATGCAGATTCTCAAACTTTACCCAAGGCCAACTGAATCAGAATCTGCATTTTAACAACATATCTAGGTAATTGACATGTAGAAGCATTGTAAAGGACCTCATTTTTAAAAATAAATAAATGGCAAGGGAAAATGGGAGGAAACTATTAGTGGTAGAGGAGGGCATGTTACTGCTATTTGAGCTTACCGGGTTGAACAATACTCAGTCTTAGTGGGAAAAGATTTTAAAAGTGTGTGTTATAATCTTTACTACAGACAAATGCAGAGTTGTAGTGTTAGAGCCTTAGTGTAGGAAATGTTAATACACTGCTGGCTCAGTTACCACGTTATGGTGTAATCACATTTTAGACAATTCAAACGTTCAGAACAGGACTTGAGTAGGTGAACTTGTTGAAGAGAAATACAGGTTTATCCTCTACCTTTAACAATTTCAATTTCAGATGTTTTTCTCTAAACTTATTTATGTTTTTGCTTGAGCAGAACTATTTAGAGTCTTCCTGAGCCTACTCCCATTTCTAAGGGCAGGACACTGGACTTGATCTCTAGGATCTTTTCTAACATTCAAACTCTAGGGGGAAAATATCATTTAAAAATTTAAAGTATGTATGACTGCTGATAGTCTTCAAGTTGAATGTAGAAGCAAAGTATCCTGTCTTCATCAGCCTGAACTTGTCCACATTTTTACATGTATCAGAGATCTTGTTGCCAAACCACAAAGGAGTGGAGAAAATTGCATCAGCTGGCTGTGCAATGCTTGGGGAAGTGTCTTGAAGGAAACCCAAGGTCAGCCTCCTCTCCAAGACCTGGTGAGGTAGTTGAGGCCATTGTCATGACTAGGTCAAGGGGTTCAGAAATTAATTTATTGCATGCTTATTTCTCCCAGAAGTGTTTAAATCAGCCATCCTACTTAAGTGTGTTCTGCTTAAGTGGAATGTATTTTGCTTTAAAATGTTGGTTTCATTTTTCATACGATCCAGAATAAATCTTAATCATTAATAGTGTCTTTTCAGAATTTGCCCACTTTTCTGGTACAACTAGTTGCAATGGCTGGGAATAAAGGAAGAGGACGGGCTGCTTATACCTTCAATATTGAGGCAGTTGGATTTAACAGAGGTGAAAAGTTACCTGATGTAGTATTGAAACCACCCCCACTGTTCCCTGTAAGTACATTAACAGCAAATTCTTATAGTGTGTTTTTTTGTGTTTCAGAGAAAATTAAAATTCTATATAGGACTTGAATATATGATATCATTATGATATCCTAAAGTGTAAGAAAGTAAGAGCATGCTTCACTTACCTTTAATTTAAATATTTCCACTGTTCCTCCCTGAACCTTTTCTAATTTTTCACAGTGCTGTCTTAAAATACAGAAAACAAAATTGTTTACATACCTTTCATGAATATAATTCAGTACTGTAGGAATTAAGAAAGAATTTTTGAAATTCATGCATCTTACATTACTATTGATATATTATAGTATTAAAATAATATTTTTTGCCCTGGCTGATGTGGTTCAGTGGATTGAAAGCCAGCCTGCAGTCTGAAAGATTGCTGGTTTGATTCCTGGCCAGGACACCTACATATGTTGTGGGCCAGGTCCCCGGATAGGGGTGTGTGAGAGGCAACCCATGGGTATTTCTCTCCCTTTTTTTCTCTCTCCCCCTTTCTCTGAAATGAATAAATAAATAAGTAAAATCTTTCAAAAATGATGTTTTTTTTAAAGCAAAGGCTTTACAGTGGTCCTCAGTTCATTCCCATTCTGCCAGTTTTTCACTTATTTTTTTCTCATCTTACATATATAGAATTTAATTTACCTCCCTGTTCTACTTTTGGCCTTTTTTCCCACTGAACCTTTTTTTTCTTATTTGCATATTTTATTAAAGTGAATTTAAATTTTGTTAGTTACTCAAAATATAAGTGCTTCTGCTACATTTAATGTTGGTTTTAAATTTAATGAATATGCCACAAGCTTAATTGGCATAATGTTTAATCTAATGCTTTTGTTTTATGTATTATTTAGTTTAAAATGTAAGCTTACATTTCCAGATGTGCATGTGCTGCAGTATAAAAAAATGAAAAAAAAATCATAAATAACCAGATACCCCCTCCAGGAATCTTTTCCTGCTTCAAAAGGAAAAGGCCTTTGATGAAAGATTTATGGAACTAGGGGACCTGGACAAATGTATCTGGGGAATCTAGATATATTTGTCTAGATGGGGAACTTTCTGCTCTTGATACTTTGCCTTTCTGATATTTACCACACCCAAAAAACAAAGATAAATATCTCAGGTATAGGCATAATGTCACTTTATGTTTATTTCTTTTAAAACAAGCTCTTGTCCATGTGTGAGATTATTTCTAAACACTGAGCCTATTAGTACATACTGTTTTATACATGGAATAAAATTGAAATTCCTTACTACTGACTAAGAGGCTCTGTCTGATCTAGCCTTTCTCATGTTTCTCTGACCCTTTTCCTACCACACTGTTCTCTCTCCCTAGCCATTCTGGCCTTCTTGTTCCCTCAGGCATTTTCCTCTGCCGGTTTTCCTGGCTGGACCATCTGTTTCCCAAGTCATTGCATGGATGGCTTCCTAATTTTTTCCAGCTCTCTGCTTAAACATGATTTTCCCCAGAGGTCACACATGCTTACACTGTGTAGACCCTCCACCTTCAACCTCCACTCTTACCTCTACCTGGCTTCATTTTTTTAAGAGCACTTATTACTATTCAAAATTATATTTTACCTTCTTTGTTTATTTGTTGTATTTGTCTCCCCTAGAATGTAAGTTCCATGAGAGCAGGCACTGTGACTAGTTCATTATGGTATCTCCTGTTGTCTAACCATGCCTGGCTTATAGTAGGCATTTAAATAATTGTAGCATTGATGAATGCTACATTTGGAATGAAGTTTTAAAAATGTATGCTAGGCTTAGCCTCTGAAGACTTAGCCTCTGAGATGTTTTTACTACACACCCGGAGGATCCATTTCTTAATGAATGTATATATTATGCCTATATGCACATATATGCATATATAAATATGTCCGTGCATGTAATTTTTAAAAACTGAAGATGCAGCTTCAGACTCCTGCTTTATATGTTAATTGGGTTATAGATTGTTCACTTCTTCATTTCTTCACTGTAAAACGGTAAATATTGATGATACTTGAAATGAGATTATGGATGTTGAACACTGAGTGCATCTCAGTCATAGTAACCACTTGTTAAATGATAGCTTCTGCTGTTACTTTTTTTATGCTACTGCTCCAAACAGTACTACCACCTCTCACTGAGGTCAGTAGGAGACTAAAGCAGTTACTCTCATTTGGGTGCATTGATTTCTATAATATGGAATCATAGCAGACAAACTATATAGCAAAATGATTATTTTGTAGTCAGAAAAATTAGGGTCAGTGGGAAAATTAACCATCTTTCCTACCCCTAAAATAAGAGTAAATGGGCTAAAAGGTTAAATAGATTACAAAAGCTCAACAGATTTTAAGTTGATTGTAAAACTTAGTTACCCATAAAATGTAGTTTTTCAATAAAACCGACATTGTCCAGAATATAGGCAAAAGGGATATTAAAATATTTTAAAAATATTGTCTCTTAACTTAAATAGGATACAGATTATAAACCAGTGCCACTGAAAACAGGAGAGGGTGAAGATTATATGCTGGCCTTGAAACAGGAGTTGAGAGAAACTGTGAAAAGAATGCCTTATTTTATAGAAACACCTGAAGAAAAAGAAGGTGTGTATTGGACTCTTTGATTTTGTTGTTCATTGTATACAGATGAAACAGTGCTTTGGCATAAGATATGTGGATGTGGTCATTAAGTTGATTTGATTCAGCTGGAAATTATCAACTACCTTAGTGTATTTCTGTTGGTTTAACAGAAAATATATATTAAATTTTTTGATATTTTTAAAATTACCTTTCACAAAAGAACTTTTGTATATTCAGTGAAAATTAAGAAAAACAAAAAATATTTAAAAAGTAAAAATCACTTATAATGTTTGTGTCTAGATTAAAATGCTATTAGTACCTTATTGTATATTCTGAAATTTTTCTTCTATATGTGTATTCTTTTTACAAAATTGGATTCCTATTTGCATCTTCCTTTTTAATCACTAGCATACTATTAACATTTTTACATATTCCTAATATTCTTGGAAAATATGATTTTTAATGACTATATGGTATTCCATAGTGGATATAATATTAATTGTAATTAATTCCCTGCTATTAGATTTAAGGCTGTTTCTAATTTTTCTTTTCTCGTGTATAATGTCCTGATTACTATCATTACACAAATATCTTAATGCAGGTCTCTGATGATTTCATATTTTGGTTAAAATTTTTAAATGACTTGACTGTATTTTGGCTTGTAATTTATATATCAGATATAATAGACTATAAAACACAAATTCTTTGGTTATGCTAAGGACATAAAGGAGGTTCAGTTGGAGAAGGCTTGACAGTCTGAGACTGGAAGTGGGAGGGAGTTTTAGAAGAAGGGAACCAATTCCTGTGTGATTATTTAGCACAGCAGAACTATATTGATTTTTAGTTTCTGCCCTTGAATGCTGAAATTAGAGATATCAATATCATTCTTGAGTTCTCAAAACATCATTAAAACATAAGCAACTCATATACTATCTTATTTCATCAAAAATAAAATGCATTCCATTTTCCTTCTCTCTGAAAGACAGAATTGGGTAAGAGTCAAAAAAGAAGTTGTATTTAATAATGTTACATGCGCTTGTAATTATAAGAAGCCTTTTAACACATGGATAAAAACTAGGGGTGGGTGGAAATGGGAGGGAGGAGGGGAGGGCTGGGTGGGTGGGTTGGGATGAGAGTTAAAGATAGAAAATTGTACTGCAACAACAATTAAAATAAAATTAAAAAAATATCAAGGTCATATAGTAAAAGTATTAAATGAGTAATATAAACTAAAAGCATAACAAAAAATGATAGGTGGACTAAAAATATAACTTTCATTTTAATAAATGTAAAAAAATTTTTAAAAAAGCCTTTTAGATACATTTAATTCTTCAAAACATATCGGCTTGAAATTATATCATGATTTAATAAGAGATAATTTTACCTAAAAATACTGAATTTTTTTTTTACCTAAGAAATACTGAATTGTTTTAACTTTCTTAACTTTGGGTTTTTTTTTTTTAAGATTTTATTTGTTTACTTTTAGAGAGAGGGGAAAGGAGGAAGAAAGAGAGGGAGAGAAACATCAATGTGTGAGAGAAACTTCCATCAGTTGCCTCTCATGCACCCCCAACTGGGGACCTGGCCTATAACCCAGGCATATGCCCTGACTGGGAATGGAAGCAGCGACTTTTCAGTTCACAGGCCAGCATTCAGCCACCTGAGCCACACCAGCCAGGGTGTGTTGTTTTAACTTTCATGATTATGTTCATGCTTTTTTTCCCCTTGGGTTTGAAAAAGAAATTAAAGCTCTTGTTTTAGAGACTTTGAAAAGCAAAACTAAATGAACTAACAAATATTCTTATTAGAAAAATAGTAGTGTAGGGTAGGGATGTCAAACTCATTTTCACCAGGGGCCACATCAGCCTCTCAGTTTCCTTCAAAGGGCCAAATGTAATTTTAGGACTGTGTAAATGGAACTACTCCTTAACTAGGGGCAGGGAGCTCAGCATTGCTGCCAGGTAGAAACAAGGTACCAGGCCGGATAAAACCTGGTGGAGGGCCGGATTCAGCCAACGGGCCTTGTGTTTGCTACCCATGGTGTAGGGTATATTTTAGTTTTTTTAAAAATAGTCTTTTCCATAGACTGCGTAACAGATTTATTTAACTAAATGTGCTTGTTATTAAAGCATGTGTCTAATTTAAAAGTGTATCATATCATTAAAATATATATCTGAGTCTTTTAGACAGGCACATTAAGAACATAATTTTGTTGCTGGTTTCTGGGAGTGGTTAGTTTATATCTGGATCAAGAGACTTTATCTTTTATAACAGCACAATAAAATATTTAAAAATGTATGGACTATTTTGCTTTTTTTTTTTTTTCAGAAGAAAACGCTTGCATAAAATTTTCTAAACTGATACAAGTACATTCTCCTTGAAATCTTCATGTTTACCTCTTTTTCCTGATGTAATCTGTTTTTTAAAAACTATGGTTGAAAATGAAGGGTTTTTAAATGTAATATGTACATACATATGTGTGTGTCCAGGTTACTATAATACCTACTGTACATAGGCATATATACACACACAAATATACGTTTATATAATATACACACCATGAATGAAAAAGAATTGGCCAGTCTGAACAGAAGTAAGCAACTGTCAGAGGGAGACATATCCTAGATAGTGTTACATCACAAGCTTTCTCCCATCTCACCAACTATGTGCTTTAGGAAGACTAATGTAAACTATGTGCATTATGGACTAATGTAAAGAACTAAATACTAGACTAGGACAAACAAATAGGTAGGAAATGTCAAGAATGCCAGCTCAGGGAATTTAGATTTGTCACAAAGAATTGAGGGCACAGAATAAACATTTCATGTTGCGATGTGTTTCAGGTTTGTTTAGAATGTTTCAGGCAGAATTATAGAAGTGAGTGGCATTGTCTTTACAATGAAATTTGCTATTTTTATAATAAAGATAAAATACCAATGAATATTATTTTATTGAATATTAGCTGAAAAAATACATAGAGATCATCTGATCCAATGGTTTCTAGCTCAGGTTCCTGAACCACTGGAGTCCTTTGAGGTAGAAACAGGAGTGACAGAAGTGATATTCTATAAGCCATTTCAGAACTTAAAACTTAATGGAAATTATACATTTACCTACAATATGGCCACAAGGTCTTTTATGAAATAAATGGAGTTTGTTTTATTCTTTCTATACCGTTAGGCTCCATGTGACCCTGTTTTAATGTTTGGGTTTGTTTTTTAGCAGTTCTTACTATATGCAAGGATTTATATTCATAATATTTTTTATAGAGATCTTCCAAAGAACAAAGAGAATTTACTTTAAAAAAGAAAAACAAAGACATTTTATCTTAGTGTTACCAAAAGGGTCATTTGATCCTTTTATTAATCTAAAATATACTTGGGAATCTTAGTGATCTTTTCCTGTGTTGAAACATTTGGGTGTTTCATCATTATAGGTATTATTTCATCATTCATCCATTCCTCCTCCCCATGATGGAAAAAAAAAGACTAAAACATGAAAAAAATAGAAAGAATGATAAAATTGTATAGAAGGACTATGCAGTATTGAAATAAATCGTCAATCACTATTACATCATCCTTTAGTTTTCCTATTGTGTTATCCAAAGCATTACATTAATTTTTAAGAAGATAAAAAAGTCAGGAGAGACTCTTGTAGTTGTTTTGTTTTTCTTTTAGCTTTTATAGAATATAATTAAGAACTTAAAATTCTTTATTTTCTGATCATAATGGCAAAGAGAAAAAAACTGAGAGGAAGATGTTTCACAGTGACTATGCAAATCAGGAGACGAGTACAAAGAGACAGCAGCTCTCTGGTTGCTTAATGATAATGGCAAAAAATGATTGTATAAGCAAAATCTCAGACCAAGTTTTCAGTTGACAATATGCTAAATGAATTTTATCAAACTCAGGAATCAACGGTAAACAGTATGTTTCTAATTATGAAAAGGATATATGGTATTCTCATGTAGTTAATCTTTGCAAAGCATGTCATCTTATAATATTTTGTGATAAGAATCTGAAACATCCTGTTTGCTAAAATGACATATGACCATACTTTTATGATACTAATGTACCAAAATTTATTTGCTGTAGTTTGTAACTGGACAAATGCTGAATGCAAAGACAGAGATGCCTGAAAGGAAGCAGGTTATGTTAAAACAATTCACCTGAAGCAGGATATGTTGAAGTAAAACAATTTAGCGTATTGATCATGTTAATTGATAATTATAAATTTATTAATGAAACTTTTGCAATTGTAGACCAAAGAAGATGGCTGGCTCATCCTCTCTTCAACAAAAATATGAGCCATCAAAAAATTTTAAATCATTACATTTTGATGGTACAAATATGAGAAGTATTGGAAGTAATGATAAGCTAGAAGCTATTAGGAATGTGTTTGTAATTACAGTCATTAAGATGGTGCAAGTGTAAGAAGAAGAACCAGAAATAATAAGTTAGCACTTATTATAATTAAAGATGTATTTGAAATCTGGAGTCAGGATGTATGAAATGCATGTATTCAGGTCTGTGTGTGACAAACCCAGAATGCACACTGATGCACAGTTAGTTGTACTCAAAGGGTGTTGCCCTTTTTGGCTAACTATACCTTCAAAACCAGGAAAATAATGGAATATAAATTTGAGTTTACTATACTTAATTTCTTTTTAAAATTGCCAATAATTTTCATTCTTTTTAAATAATGGCTTTATTGAGATAAAATTCATTTTTTAGGTATACAATTCAGTGGCTTTTAGTGTAGGCACAGAATTATACAACCATACTACTATCTACTGTATTTTGCCATGTATAATGTGCTCCCGTGTGTAATGCACATCCATGTTTTTGTGTGCATTATACATGAGATTATTATACCCATGATATGTCATCATTATACTCACGTGTAATGCACATCCTTATTTTTCCCTAAAAAATTTGGGCAAGAAGTGCACATTATAAATGGCAAAATATGGTAACTTTTAGAAGACTTTCATTGTCCTGAAAAGAAACATCATACCTAATAGTGTCATACCCCCATGCCCCCTCCCCCCAGCCCATGGCATCCACTAATCTGCTTTATTTCTAATAATTTGTTCTGGATATTTCATATAAATTGAATCATATGTGTCCTTTTGTGACTGGCTTCTTTCACTTAGAATGTTTTCAGGGTTTGTCCATGTTATAGCGTATATCAATGCTTTATTTCTTTTTTCTGGCTGAATACTAATCTGTTTTATGCATATACCACATTTTGTCTACCTATTCATCAGTTGGCAGACAGCAGGGTCAATTCCAGTTTGGGGCTATTATGAGTAATGCTGCTATGAACATTCGTGTATACATTTTTGTGTGGACATAAGTCATTTTTATTGGGCATATATCTAGGGTCATATGGTAACACTATATTTAACATTTTGAGAAAATTTCATACTGTTATACAAGGTTTTGCACATTTTTACATTACCAACCATGTATGAGAGTTCCAATTTCTTCACAACATAGCCAACAGTTATTACTGTCTTTTTGATTTTAGCCATCCCCGTAGGTATAAAGTGGTACATTAGTTACTGTGGTATTGATTTGCATTTCTCTAATGACTAATGATGTTCACCATCTTATCATGTGTTTTTTGTCCATGTATCTCTTCACTAGAGAAATATCTATTTAAATTATATGCCTGTTTTTTTTTTAAGTTCCTACATTTCATTGTAGTGGTACAATATTTTTTTAATTGTTCTTCAAGTACAGTTGCCAAGATTTTCCAGCCAACACTTTTCCCTGCCCCACCCACCCACACCTCACGCCCTCAATCCTTCACCCCCATTGTCTTTGTCCATCTGTCCTTCATACATGTTCCTTGATGACCCTTCCCCTTCTTCCCCTGTTATTCCTCTCCTTCCTCCCCTCTGTTTACTTTATTCAGTTTGTTCTTTATTTCAGTGTTTGTGGTTGTATTTTGCTTACTTGTTTTGTTGATTAGGTTCCACTTACAGGCAAGATCATATGGTATTTGTCTTTCACCATATATGCCTGTTTTTAATTGGATTCCAGTAGATGAGTTTCAGTACCTCATACTCAGTACATTATTTGAAAATAACTTAAAAATATAAAAACTGGTTCATTAGACCCAGATAATAAATGGTAATAACTACTTTCCTTAGTATATTTTGGGTCAATTTTTTTTCAAAATATGGAATCCGTTTTGGAGAAAATTATAAAATGCAAATACTGGGAATCCCTCATTTGTGCTAACTTCTTTACAGATGAAGAACTTGAGAGCAAGATTAAAGTCAAACAGTTAAATACCTAGAAAAGCCTGGTCTGTTGAGTTGCTCCGCTTTGGTTGCCTTTAGTTATCTTTGACACCATAGTCTTAGTATTATTTGGAAGCATTTTTTTCTAAAGATTGTATTTTTTTATTTTTAGAGAGAGGGGGAGGGAGGGAGGGAGAGAGGATGGAAGACAAATATCAATGTGAGAGAGAAACATCAATCGGTTGCCTCTCCAATGCACCCTGACTGGGGACTAAATTCACAACCTAGGCATGTGCCCTGACTGGGGATCGAACCAGTGACCTTTAGCTTTGCGGGAGGATGCCCAACCAACTGAACCATGCTGGTTAGGGCTGGAAGTGTTTTCTTAACATAGAAGAAAAATCAGTATATATTTGGGTCTGGATTTTTATATTTTCATCTTTGTATTACTTTCCCTTTTTCATGGCTCTACTCCAAAACCATTTTTTCTGATGAACCATGGTTTCATTTTACTGCATTATGGTGGTGCTTGGGCCCTCCTCAAAGGAGTTTCTTGTGGTTGTGGGCAAAGCAGACGCAGGAGACAGTTGTGGCTCTTCCATTTTTAGCAAGCTTAGAGGGTCACAGCCGAGTTCTCAGTGGTTGGCGTGGAAGGCTTGCATGCTCCTGCATGGCTCCGTCAAGTCCAACCTCACTTGCTACTACCTTTTTCCCCACTCCTTGCCTCAATGGGTTGCGAAAAGTAGCTTATTAAGAAGCCTAACTGAATGTGTGTATAAAGTGCTAGAGGAGCACAAACAGCCCTCCCTCCCCACTGAGGTACTTAATATTGTACATTCCAGTTACACAAGGTTTAAAGATTGGGAGCTGGAGGCCAGTGTTAGCAGAAGAAAACAGAAGATGCTGAGTAGACTCCTTGCCCTTTCATGTCAGTGGCTTTTGGCTCTTTTGTGAGTGCCCTCAGAGATGTCAGGTTGTCCTACTCTAAGAACTGAAATTAGGCTTCAGGTTTCTGCTCACCCCCAACCATTCATATGCAGCTCCTTCTTGCCACTTTTCTTAACCTAACACTCATTGAACTCTTCAGTTTGTGTTCAGGAATACATTATGAACAAATAAATGCAGGAAGTTCCCTGAATGTGAAGTAAAAGGTATTTGGTATTTGCAATTATTTTAAAGGAATGGCTTAAATTCACGTTTATTCTTGATTTTTCTAATGAACACTTTTTTTCCCCTAGATATTGAAAGGTATAGTAAAAGATATATGAAGGTGTACAAGGAAGAGTGGATACCAGGTAAATTATAAAGCTAAAAATGTTAGAATGATATTTAAAGGCTTCTTCCTACTCTATATTTTTAGGACACATTTTCTATTTCTCTGTAGCAAAATAGAGCCTGTTTTTCTGCAGTTAATTAGTAATATATATATCATGAAAACTAAGATGAAAAGATGTTTATACTGTAAGAAGGTAGAGTTGAAGTATTTGGGGGGGAAGTTCTTAAAACACTCAAAAAAAAGATAAACTAGGACTTGCCAGACCCATTTGGGTTTTCCATTTTCATTTGCCAAAATCACAGTTTCAGTCTGTAGTACCAATAGTACGCAGTTCTGTGCTTCTGAGTGATTCTATAGCTTTTGAAGAAAAAAACACAAATCTAGTGTTAAAGATTTTGAAGTTCATGAATCTTTCTTTCAAGGAGACATAGACTATTTTTAGTTTAGTTGTGAGGATTCCTTTTCAAAAGAACTATACCTAAAAGCTTCCCCGCCTCTGTCCCCCAATATTCACAAATTTGTGTTGGATATCGAGAAAGTGGAAGGGGCTGGAAAGATCTCACCCAGCTCATTTATTTTGCAGAGGAAAAACAAAGTTGCGTTGAAATAAAGTGACCTGTCAGGACAGCTTAGATAGTGCTAGTAGAACCTAGGTCTCCTCATTTTAACTACTTTCCTTTAACATCTCTGTCCTTGGTGTTTTATACAAATTGCCTTTATGTAAAAAGCATAAATGGCATTTTCAGCATTGTTGCTTTCATGGGTTATAGTGCTTTTTCTTTTCGGTGTTGATTGAACATTGGTAGTGTTGGGTCCCCTGGAAACACTCTCTTAGATCTCTGATTTCTTCTACTTCATAAATACTCATCTTCTAAATGATTTTTGTTATTCATCACATACTTCTCATGATCATCTATGAGTTGTTTATAAAAACAAATACATTCAAATTTATTAATTCAGATAAAATAGTTTGAGATGTAGATGTTTTCTACAAAATACACTGAGGTATTATTTTTTTATTAGCAGGCAATATTTTTTCATCCGTATTTTTAATTTTAAAGTTTTTAGGTAATATATTTATTTAATTTTGCATGTGTTGACATTGTGGTCACCTGTTTTAACTTTTGAAAAAAATTCTTTATTATATAAGAAATATATATCAACTACAGAAAAGTTATACAGAGTAGTCAAATGATAAATAAATAATACTCGAGAAAAATAGCTGTATTCCTAACACCCACAAAATTAATATTTTGTTTCCAACCTACAGCTTTCACTGCATAAATATATATGTACAGGATGGGACAAAAGTAGGTTTATAGTTGTTTATATGGACAATAAATACCATAATTAATAAATAATAATATAACAATAAACTCTTTCATGTACTCAAAACTGTAAACTTAACTTTTTGTCCCACTATGTATAAATATTTATATGCTAGGTTTATTTCTAAATGGGATTCTATATATATTATTTGAAATATTTGAAAAACATTTTCTATTCAACAATATATCATGAATAGCTTTTCATGTCCATTCATACTCAAAATGTTTCATGTAGAAAAAATATTTTTCTACATTTTTCTTGTTATGAAAATTTGTTATTCAAATTGACTGTATAACTACTGTATTTATAAATAGCTATTAAAAGAATATGCAGAAGTTTTATAGCACTATTTCAAAGCTATTTTACTTAAGTATACTTTATTGATTATGCTATTATAGTTGTCCCATTTTTTTCTCTCCTTTATTCCCCTCCACCTTGCACCACCCCTCCGCCCCCAGCATTCTCCCCCTTAGTCATGTCCATGGTTCTTTGGCTTCTCCATTTCCTATACTCTTCTTAACCTCCTCCTGTCTCTTTTGTACCTACTGCTTATACTTATTATTCCCTGTACCGGTTCCCTCATTCTCCCCACTCTTCCTCCCCACTGACAACCCTCTGTGTGATCTTCATTTCTGTGATTCTGTTCCTGTTCTAGATGTTTGCTTTCTTTTTGTTTTTGTTTTTTTTAGGTTCAGTTGTTGGTAGTTGTGAATTTGTTACCATTTTACTGTTCATATTTTTTATCTTCTTTTTCTTAAATAAGTCCCTTTAACATTTCATATAATAGGGGCTTGGTGTTGAGGAACTCCTTTACTTTACCTTATCTAGGAAGCACTTTATTTGCCCTTCCATTCTAAAAGATAGCTCAGAGCTATTTTAATGACTACTTTTTGTTGATAGTATAAAATATTATTTTGTTATATTTTAATTTCCAGGCTAAATCTGTATAATCAGATATTAAAATTTTTATTTTCAGTGCTTGAGCTAGTTATATTTTTAATAGGGTACATCTACTACCACTAATTGTAGAAGAAATTACAATTTTATATTTCTTCTTTTGTACATACAGATTGGAGGAGACTCCCACGAGAGATGATGCCAAAGAAAAAGTACAAAAAAGGTATATTGACTAATATAATAATCCAGGTAGGAAAGGGTTATTGCTTAAATTCTATCTAATATGGAAGTATCAACCTGAACCTAGCTTAGTATTATGAATGCTTTTTCTTAAAATATTTTTGGCATTTTGATTATTTTGCTATAGCTCTTTTTGTTGATTTATTTGTTTTTATTTTTGTGTATTTTCTTTAACTATGGAATTTTGATGTGCTAGGAAAACTTCAATTATATAGAGAATTTTATTTGCATATTTGAAAATTTCAAAATGGTTATATTGCCTTATGTTTAGTTTTTAATTGAAACATTTGGAGCTGATAAAATTTGGGGACTGGTAGAACAGAACTTGATATTTTATGTAAAATATTAAAGTGAAAGTTTCTGCTGTATTGCACTTTCATAATTCCACTGAGTAAATAATGGTTGAGCATCTATTATTGCCAGACACTACTATGAGGAACAGAACAGTGAGCAACATAAGAGCAATCCTTGTCCTAATGGAGCTTACAGTCAAAGGTAGTAACAACATTAAATAAAAACCCACTGTTCTCATTGGTAGGTCAGGGAAAAGTTCTTGGAGGAGATGGAATTGGACTCCAGATTAAAGAATGAAATAGGAGTTTACTAAGACGAGGTTAGGGGACGGATTTTGGAGAAATCAGATTTGAGAGGGAAAAATTGTAAGTTTAATTCAAAGATGGTATTTAGGATTCTAAGTTGTTCTTGATTTTTTTTTTTTTTGAGATATACAAATAACAAAGCTGAATATGTCATAGGATACAGGGAGATGAACCTCAAAATGGAGATGGTAGTTAGTCATCAGAATAGATACTATAATTGAGACTCTGAAAAAAATGAGATTGTCTAGAGTGAAATTAAAGCACTTGAAGACTTAGTCCTGAGCTTGGAGGAATACCAAAATTTCATGGCTGATAGAGGAAATTGAATCAACAAAGAAAGGTGATGGAAAGAGAGGAGGAGGAAGAGAAACAGAAAAGAGTGGAGTTTCAGAAGAGTAATTGAAAAATGAAAAGTGTTTCAGGAGGCGGTCAACAATGTTAAAGAGCATTAAACAATGCTACAAAGAGGTCCCTGAGGTGAAGATGGGAAATATGAATTAGTTTTTGACATGTTGATCATTGCTGGCTTTAGTGAGGGCTTTTTAAAAGATATGTAGAGGTGGAATTCAACAGATTGGAAAGGGTTAAAACACTGGAATGAGAGTTTAAGAAATGGTGACAGCTAGTATAGATGAGTCTTCAGAGAATTTTGCTAAAAAGAATGAAGAGAGACAAAGGGAAGTAGCCAGAGAAGTTAAGAACAACTGGATTAGTAATTCTGACCATACACCCCTTTTTTTCTAGGCCTTACTTATATTTTTTAATAGACCTTATTTTTTAGAGTAATTTTAGGTTCACAGGAAAAATAAGAAAATACAGAATACCCACATATTCTCTACCCCCCCATATGTGCATAGCCTTCCAATTGCCAATATCTGCCCCTAGAGTGGTACTTTTGTAACAATTGATGAACATACATTGACACATCATTATCACCCAAAGTACATAGTTTAGCATTGTGTTCTTTCTTGGTGTTTTACATGCTGTGGGTTTGGACAAATGTATAATGACATGTATTCACCAATATAGTATCATACGGAGCAGTTTCAATGCCCTAAAGATCCTCTGTGCTTTGCCTGTTCATCCCTTCCTCCTCCTAACTCCTGACAACATGTGATCTTTTTACTGATTCCGTAGTTTTGCCTTTTTGAGAATATCATATAGTTGGAAACGTACATTATATAACCTTTCATATTGACTTCTTTCATTTAGTAATATGCAGTTAAGTTTCCTCCGTGACTTTTCATGGCTGATAGCTCATTTCCTTATAGTGTTGAGTAATGTTTCATTGTCTAGTTGTACTATAGTTTATTTATCCATTCATGTACTGAAGGGCATCCTGGTTGTTTCCAAGTTTAGGCCATTATGAACAAAATTCCTAAAAATATCCGTTTTGGGGTGGACATAAGTTTTCAGCTCCTTTGAATAAGTACCAAGGAGTATGATTGCTGGATTGCATGGTAAAAGCATGTTTAGTTTTATAAGAAACCTCTGAACTTTCTTTCAAAGCAGCTGTACCATTTTACATTCCCACCAGCAGTGAATGAGTTTCTGTTGCTCCACATCCTTGCCAGCATTTAGTATGTTCAGTGTTCTAGATTTTGGCTGTTATCTTATTTTAACTTTCATTTCCCTGATGACATATGATGTGGAACATCTTTTTATATGCTTACTTTCCATTTGCATGTCTTGTTTGGCAAGATGTCTGTTAAGGTCTTTGGCTCATTTTTTTAATTGGGTTTTTTGTGTTTTTATTGTTGAATTTTAAGGGTTCTTGGTATATTTTGGATAACAATCTGTGGGAAAAACACACTCCTGTTGTGTTTTTCTCCTTTACTGTCATACTACCACCATTCACAATACTTCTGACACCAGGTGTGTGGTATGTTTTTTCCCATACCAGTCAATTCTTTGCAACACAAGCTGGAAGCCTTATAACTCAATTAAATTTGGACACTAACTGGTGTTAGCACAGAACCTACAGGTGAAGGGCTCAGTCCCACAAGACTCTCCCCACTTCATATGCCAGTTGTGAGTAGTAGCTCCCCAGGTTACCCAAACTTCTGTCTGCCTTCACTACAAATTAGATGTCCCCATGACCTCCTGCTCCTTGAATGTGATTTGCTAGAATAGCATATATTTGGCCAGAGATGGAAAAACAAATCACGTTAATGCTTTGGGGTTAAGCAAATCTTTTAACAAATTTTGGTAACTTGACACTTCTCCCCCAGTTATGCGTATAAGGATTCGGCATTATATAAAACCACAATGATAATTAGCAAAAGATCCTGAATGGACTTGAGTATACAACTTATTTCTTGGCTAGGATATTAGTAATTTTAATAAGTGTATTTCTCTGACCATGTTCTCTAATATCCATTTAACATACTTATGTGTTATGAAATTTAAATAATTTGATAAAAGATCCTTAGAGAAAAAGACTTAATGATGTGAGTAAATTACATTCTTAGCTAATGTTATCTGTCATCAGTATTACAATATATTGAGATCTTGTTCATTTGTGATACTGTATATTTATGTGCTATGGTTCAAATCAAAGTCTTTGCCCACAAGGAGGACCAAGAAAGTTACTTGTCATTAAATCTAACCATTACTTTTGTTTGAGCAAAACCTCACTAATGTATACATTTGGGAGTTCTGAGCTTGGTGACTCCCCCAGGGGCAATTTAGAATAATGCAGGGGCAGTAAATTATAATTCCATTAGTTAATTGGTCATCCACCATTATCTAAAATTTTTTCTTCTGTAGGATAAATGTTAATCTTTAACAAAATTACATCTTTCTAAGCCCTATTTTCTTCTATTACCAAGTAATTTCTATGTACATAGCTTGATTATGGGAAAGAACTATAGTACTTTTTGATCACAATGACCATTTTATAGCATATGATAATGCTTTGGTAACTAGCAAGATCTATATGTGAAATAATTTTCTAGTCTCTGCAGTTTCAGAATAACCTAAAATGCAATATTTTTATATGGCTTAAGTAACTATCTCAAAGCTATTAACATGTTTTATTTATATTACTTTGAGTTTTCAGATTCATTCATAGGATTAAAACAGTGAACATATCCATCATCATTCTAAATATAGTGCTATGTTCCACTGAATATAGCCTCTTTCTCATCTCTTTAACCGTTGACAAATGCATATTTATTCTGCACTTGTTTTTTATTTTCCAAACTTCATAAAATTGCCATAGTTAAAATAGAGTACACTGATCAGTGAACAGGAGGCCAGTGCAGATGATATATTTGTGAGAGTTTTTCACTAGTCCTGTATTGATTCTGTGAGAAGTAATGTTTTAGCAATTTTGACCTGAACGACATTAATTGCTAGTACAGATTTTCAATGCTAGTAAAACGATACCTGGTTGCAGTCTTAAAAAGTATCCTACTAAGTGTTTATCATTTACTTATCATGGAATCTTGGTGAGGCATGCTGATTTATTTTGTTTATTCTTTAATGAGGAAGCCAAAGAACTTACATGTACAACCCATGGACATGAACTAGGGTGGGGGAATGCTGGTGCGAGGGGGCATGCAGGGTGGAGGGGAGTAAAGGAGAGAAAAAAAATAGGGCAAGTATAGTACCATAATAAATAACATAGATTAAAAAAAGAAAATTAATTCAGTCCACAAATTATGTGACTGCCCGGTATGACATACCACTACGGTAAGCAGCATATTACAAGGCAAAGAAATATAATATGCCATTACTGTTATGGAAAAATGTGTTAACAATGGTTTTAATTCAGCAGGTTCAAAATCCCAAAAGGTGGACAATACTAGCAAAGACACTTCACTCACTAACACTGCAGATGTATTGAAAAAAATTGAGGTAAGTTTTTCTTCTAACTGGAAGAGTGAACTGAAAAGTTGTCATACCTCCTTTTGCCTTCTTTGGCCTTTCTACCTTCTCTCACTTTGTAATAACGTGGGTTTGCCAGATCCAAGCCCAGCGCACAGATAATCGGAAAGGTTTGATCACTGTTGGCTGGGAGATAGGGGGCTTCATCCTGTCCTCTACCGCTCCACTGTCAACTTGCCTCACCTTCTGTCACCTGCTTCCTTTTCCACTCTGTCCTTTTTTTCCCCTTGCATTTGAATTGTGCATGGGAAAGAAATGAGTTACATACCTCACAATGGTTTTCTTTTAAAAACCTTTTAGTTCTCCTATTGTTGCATGTATACTTTTTTTAATGCTTTCCTTCTGTTGCGTGTTAAGTGTAGAAGATTCTATTGAGGGAAGACCATAACTTGTTGAACTTATTTTTATATCTTTTTTTAATATTTTAAAAACAAAAGATGTAAAATTTCAAAAGTTTAATTAACTGAAAATTTATCCTCCCATTCCATTCCCCTCCTGTAGACAACCAACATTACCAATTTCTTATATATCCATCCAGATATGTTTTATTCATAGCAAATAGAAATTTTCCTCTTTTTCATAAAAGGACAAAAGGTACCCTATACACTCTTGCATTTTCAATATATCTCTTAAAATATCTTGGAGATGGTTCCATGTCAGTCTGTATAGACTTACCTCCTTTTTTTTTTCTTTTGGCCACACTATAAAAATGAACCATAATTTATTTAATCAGTACCCTACTGATGGACATTATGTTCATGTAGTGTTTCATTATTATAAACAATGCTGCAAGAAATTCATGTTGAGTATGTCTTTCACATGTGTAGGGTAGATTTCTAGAAGTGGATTTGTTGGGACAGTTGTTATATATATATTGTATAATATGGATAAATATTAACAGGTCACTCTCCATGAGGGGTATACCAATTTTATCAATGTGCTTGTATTACTTTGCACTGATGATGATGATGATGATGATGATGATAATAGCAGCTAGCACTTACTGAAAACATTATTTACCAAGATCTTTGATGAACTATTTATACTCCTGAAGACTTCATTCCAACAGAGAGAGATGAATATTATTGTTCTTTACTTACAGATGAGATAGCTATTATTATTCCTTTCTTACTTTAAAACTTTAACTTCTCCAGCCAAGTTGGCCAGCTGCATGGTAACAGAAACTTGTATTTTTGTTATTTTATTTTGGTCAGTGCTTCAGCTAGAGATAATGTGTGTGAAAATAAAGCCAAGAGACTTGTTGAAGGAATAGTGTTAACTGTCAGGTTTAACTGTGGTGCAGTAATGGATGAGGTTGTGGACCTAGCCAACTTGTATTGACCGAACACAGATTCTGACTGTTCATAAAGTTTCCTGGAAAGAAGTTGCTAAGCTGACATGTGCTATAAGGAAGATTGATTTGGACCTGTGAATGTGGTTTCTCATCAGAACAAGTTGTGTTGCCTTATTCCTTGCATTTGAGCACCTTTTGCAGTACAAACATTGTTAGGACTGGAGTTTTGAATCTAGAAATCCCAATGAGTTAGCAGTTTTAATAGAACAAAATTAGTTTGCAGATAACTCTTACTGTTCATTTCTTCAGCAAAGTGGTTGCAAATTTTACTATAATAAAATTCCTGTGGATAGAGGAGTGACATACACTCAGATTTCATAATTAACATGTGAATCACCAGACACCAGTAAACTAGTATTTGAGCTTCCTATTTCTGCATGACATATAAGGAGAACTATAATAGGGTGGCCATACAGTATTTAAACTAAAAGAAATGTACCCTGTCCAAAATTAACCATTTTAAAAGTGTTTTCTCATTATATAATGTGAATTACATTCACATTACTCCTCAAACAAATATGTAAAGTAGTAGGGCTAAATAGTTAAATCTCATAGAGGAGAAAATGAAGACTAGTAAGTAGATGAATCAAAACTAGTAGCTTAATGCAAAAAGAAATGAAGTAATAAGACAATGTGTGTAGCTCTTAGATGATTTTTTTTTAATTGTGTAAATCTGCTATGTTAACCAGTTCGGATGTTTTATGGGTTTGCTTTAGGGCTATGTAGTAGAAATAACGTTGAGGTTATTTATTTAAAGGTATGTGATGTAACAATAATGGAAATGAAGCATGGAATGAATTTTACATTTTTTTAAAGATTTTATTTATTTATTTTTAGAGAGGGAAAGGAGGGAGAAAGCGAGAGAAAAACATCAATATGTGGTTGCTGGGGGTCATGGCCTGCAACCCAGGCATGTACCCTGACTGGGAATTGAACCTGCGACACTTTGGTTTGCAGCCCATGCTCAATCCACTGAGCTATGCCAGCCAGGGCTGAATTTTACATTTTAAAAATATTTTTACAGAACTAGTTTAAATAATTCCATTGCTAATTATGAAATAATAGCTAATAGCATGATTTTCAAATAAAGTGTATATCTTGTACAGTTAAATATAGCACTCCAGTTCCCTTTTAACCATACATAACAGGTTGTAAGCCTTTTTACTGTGGTCATTAAAATAGAAAAGAAAAAATCCACATATTAATGTCCATTGAGGCATTTTATTTATATGTATGTCTTACCATAGCTAGAAAAAGAATTCCAGGATTTTCCCTCATGTGTGATTGCGTCTTGCTTCTTCATGATCTGTGATGCCCACTGAGGTTGTCAATACAAGGAAACCAAACTGACAGAACAGAAGCAGCCTCTTCTGCCATTTTCTTGATCTTTGAGTTGCATGTCAAATCTGGGCCTGATTAATCTATACTTGTTTAACATGCCTGTGAGGTCCACAACAACTTCCTCAGCTCTCTGGTCATCGGTAATTTCAAAATTGCCAATGTAAACATGTTTCATCATCACATTAGAAACCAGACAGTGACTTTGGAGCACGGCCTAGTAAGAAACTGATGTTTGCTTCTCTTTTTCGTATTGTTGATTATGTGAGAGCATCAGTCAGCGCATTCATGGGCACCATTATGGTGGTGAGGAAAGATGGCGCAAAGAGTTATCTCTGTGTATTTATAGACACTTCAAAAGATCTGTAAATACTATTTTGTTTACTTGCAGTTTTCCAAAGGAATGACATTTGGAAAGCTTGTACACATTTCTATTGTAGTAATACATTACATAAGGCAAGGTGGATCGGTATGAAGATGATTATCTTGGTCTTATTTGTTTTTGTTTCAGGTAAAGTGACAGTAGATTTTGAATTTTGATTAGAAACTGAGTTTATCTGATATAGTCTTTCTATTGCCTTTGACTTTGTTAAATTAAAATTTGAATGTAATAAAAAATTTTTAAATAAATATCTAAGAACTAATAAAGGAGTAGCCAAATTGTAGTCAGTCCCAAATGTGTAAAATATGTTTTACCTCTCTATGTAATCTACTAAGCAAATAAATACCTTATCATAGGAAAGAGTATTTGTGGATTTATGAGTTAGTGTTCTGATTTCTCTTTAAGAATATTTACATCTTAGCTAAAGTGATCTTATGCCTTAATTATAAATATAAATATGTGAAATTATTGCTGCACCCACCACCTAGAAAGCTTGTGAAAGCCTATCACTTGTGCAAATTAAGCACAGAATAATTTAATGAATAAATAGTGACAGTAATGAAAACATAATTTTTTTGTCAAATAGAAGAAAATTGTTTATAGTCATAAGAAGAAGATGATATTAAAGTTAAATTTATGGTATATTAAAGTTAAATTTGTGTGTTAAAGTTATGAGATGGTAGCATAGTGATTTTAACAGGATGGATAAGTAGAACCACCCGGAAATAAAAGCTTTTCTTTCATTTTCTTCCTTTTTATTGTTGTTCAAGTGCTGTTGTCTCCATTTCCCCCCAGTCTCCCACTCTGAATCCTTTCCCCTTTGGCTTTGTCTGTGGGTCCGCTGTACATGTTCTTTGACAACCCTTGCCCTCCCCCCCCCCATTGTCCCCCTCCCTCTTCTCTCTGGTTACTGTGAGTTCTTTATTTCACTGTCTCTAGTTATATTTTAATTGCTTGTTTGTTTTGTTGATTAGGTTCCACTTATAGGTGAGATCATATGGTATTTGTCTTTCGCCACCTGACTTATTTCACTTAGCATAATGTTCTCCAGTCCCATCCATGCTGTGGGGAAAGGTAGCAGCTTCTTCTTTTTCTGTGTTGCATAGTATTTCATTGTATAAATGTACCATAGTTTTTTGATCCAGTCATTTACTGATGGGCACTTAGGTTGTTTCCAGCACTTGGCTATTGTAAATAATGCTGATATGACCATTGGGGTGCATAGGTTCTTTCAAATTGGTGTTTCAGGATTATTAGGGTATAATCCCAGCAATGGAATTGCCAGGTCAAAAGGCAGTTCCATTTTTAGTTTTCTGAGTAAATTCCATACTGTTTTCCATAGTGGCTGCATCAGTCTGCAATCCCACGAACAGGGCATGAGGGATCCCTTTTCTCCACAACCTTGCCAGCACTTGTTTGTTGATTTTATTGTAATGGCCATTCTGATCCAGGTGAAGTGGTATCTCATTGTGGTTTTCATTTGCATCTCTTTGATGACTACTGATGCTGAGCATCTTTTCATATGTCTCTGGGCCCTCTGTTATGTCTTCCTTGGGGAAGTGTCTGTTCAGGTCCTTTGCTCATTTTTTATTGGATTGTTTGTCTTCCTGGAGTGGAGTCATGTGAGCTCTTTATATATTTTGGATATCAAACCCTTACTAACATATTATTGACAAATGTATTCTCCCATATGGTTGGTTCCCTTTTCATTTTGCCGATGTTTTCTTTAGCTATGCAGAAAGCTTTTTATTTTGATGAAGTCCCATTTGTTTCTTCTTTCTTTCATGTCCCTTGCCCTAGGGGACATATCAAGAAAAATACTGCTGTGTGGAATGTCTAGATTTTCCTCTCTTTGTTCTCCTCTAGGCCTGTTATGGTATCATGACTTATACTTAAGTCTTTTATCCATTTTGGGTTTATTTTTGTGTATGGTATAAGTTCATGGTCAAGTTTCTTTTTTTTACACTTGGCTATCTAGCTCTCTGAGCACCATTTGTTGGAGAGGCTACTTTTACTCCATTTTATGCTTCTGCCCCCTTCGTCAAATATTAATTGACCACACAGACATGGGTAATATCTGGGCTCTCTATTCTGTTTTCATTGATCTATGTGTCTATTCTTATTCCAGGACCAGATGGTTTTGATTACAGTGACCTTGTAATATAGTTTGATATCAGGGATTGTGATCCCTCCTACTTTGCTCTTCTTTCTCAAAATTGCTGCCACTATTTGGGGTCATTTATGGTTCCATATAAATTTTTGAAATGTTTTTTTCTGTATCTGTGAAATATGTCATTGATATTTTAATAGGGATTGTGTTGAATCTATACACTATTTGGGTACTATGGACATTTTGATGATGTTATTTCTTCCGATCCATGAACACAGTATATGCTTCCATTTGTTTGTGTTTTCCTTAATGTCTTACTTCAGTATTGTGTAGTTTTCTGAATACAGGTCTTTTACCTCCTCAGTTAGGTTTATTCCTAGATATTTTATTTTTTTTGTTGCTATAGCAAATGGGATTTTTTTTTCATGATTTCTGCTTCTGGTATGTCATTGTTGGTGTATAAAAAATGCCTTTGATTTCTGAATATTGACTTTGTATCCCACTGCTTTGCCAAATTCACTTATTAGGTTGAGTAGTTTCTTTGGTGGAATCTATAGAGTTTTTGATTTACACTATCATGTCTTCTGCAGACAATGACAGTTTTACTTCCTCCTTTCCAATTTAGATGCCTTTATTTATTTTTCTTATCTGATTGCTGTGGCTAGGACTTCCATAGGTACATTGAATAGAAGTGGTGAAAGCGAATATCCTTGTCTTGTTCCTGATCTTAGTGGGAAAGTTTTTAGTTTTTTGCCCATTGAGTATGATGTTGGGTCTAGGTTTTTCATATATGGCCTTTACTATGTTGAGGTATGCTCTGTCTATTCCTACTTTGCTGAGTGTTTTTATCATAAATGAGTGCCGTACCTTATCAAATGCTTTTTCTGCATCTATTCAAAGCTTTTCTAACTCTGCACCTCTCTTTTGCCTCCTGTTGAAGAGTTGTTTATAAGCACTAATGTTGACTATGACTTGAGTTTCAGTATTTCTTCTTTCTCAACCTGACAGATATATTAAAAAGCAAAATTTCCTAGAAATGGGAAATAAGTAATGAAAGAGAAAAGAAATGAAAAGACATGAATAATCTGCAAATAGGATAACTCACCACAATATGTCTTGATATTGATTTAAATAATTTCCAGTATAATTTTGAATTAATACTATTACATTCTTTTTTGTCCTGTTATGTTAGAAGGAAAACAAAATAACATTCTTAAAGTTCTTCTCCATGAACTCAGTCAGTTCAGTATATTTGAAGGAAGTATGTTAGAAATAAAAATAAAGCACTATGCATAGAACTGATACCCCAGCATTACCTGGGATCCAGTTATGAAGTAACAAAATAAAATACTAGTGTCATGATAGGGCAGTGGGTTCCTCCTTTGTTGCATTAACTCACAATTTCCTATAAGATGTTAGTAAGGGAGGATTAGAAAAAGTGATAGGTAACAGTGTTCTCTTGAGGCTTAATAGGGAGGTCAAAGTCTAGAGGTTTCCAAGTAAGTTAATGAAGCTCATTTATAACAGGAATTGGAAAAGAGAGGTGATGGTGAAAAATCAGATGAGGAAAATGAAGAGAAAGAAGGAAGCAAAGAGAAAAATAAAGAAGGTGATGAAGATGAAGAAGAGGATGCTGTGGAACAAGAGGAATATGATGAAGAAGAGCATGAAGAGGTAATAGTCTATTTTGGAAAGGTAACAAAGTAACTAAGGTTAACAATTATCTAAAAAGGAGTCAGGTATATAATATAGACTAAAATGAACAAATGAAAACCAAGTTGATGGTAACCAGGGGCGTACTGTCACTGTCATCAATTCCTTTGTATCTAGAGAATTATTAATGCATTGAAGTTATAGTGGTGCCAAGCTGAATAAGATGTAAAAGTAATTTTGAGAAACATGGTGCACTTCAAAATAAGCTGGAGTCAACCCAGATATTTTTGAGCAGGGTAACTTTGTTGGTCACTGCCTCATTGGGACTTTGTAGAGACCTCATACAGTAACCCTAGACTGAGTTCCTTCTCCATTTCAGTGGCCTTTGTCTTTATTCCCTTTCAGCTTCTCACACTGCACTCTGAATCTTTCTTCTCCTGAAGCTCCTCTAACTATGAAATCTTACACAGTTTCATTATTTTGCATTATATTTCAGATTCTTTTGAAATTTATATAGGTGTAAAGGGATAGATATGGATCTATTTTTATCTGTTTCCAAATAAGGTGCTAACCTCATTTATTAAATAATTTGCTTTCTTTGTTCATTTGAAATTCTTCTCCATCAACTGTTAGATCCCCCATCTAGTTAGATGTATTTCTAGACTCTGTTCCATTGACCTGTTTCTGAACCATCACGAAGTTGTTCCAGTGACTAGAATCTTCTGATTATTTGTTAATATTTTTAGGGCATGTTACCCTTCTTTTTCAGGATTTACCTGAGTATTCTTTGTTTATTCTCCCAGATAAATTTTAACTAAACATTTAAAATTAATCATATGCATCTGTCTCATTTTCTTTCAAGATCATTCAGTTTATTGCTACACTCTGCCTTGATTGAAACTACCAAACCCTCTGATTCTTTTTTCTCTACTTTATTGGTTCACTGTCTTCAATTCCTTCCCTAAGGCACTCTTGCTCACCTTTCAACTTCTTTCTTGCTATTGCTCTTATCCCTTGGTCTCCCAGCAAATACTCTAGACCAAAGCAACTTTTAATCAATTCCATTGTCTCCTTTTCCCCTCCATACCTGCTTATTGAGCTTTTCTAAGGAATAACATAAAGTGATGCCACTTGAAAAAAATCACTCATCGCATTTTGCTGGCTAACACATTTTCTGTCTCCTCCCAAGTCAAATCTCCATAGCAAGTAATTTAGATTATCTGTCTTCATAACCCCTCTCCTTGACTACCTTCTCTTTCACTTTTAGGAGATATAGTACCTTCCTACAGAAAATAATGCCATCAAGAGGAAACACTCTTTTATTTCATGTTCTCTGCTTTCAAACAAACTGTCTTCCTTTCTCCTCTTTTTTTAATCAATGGAAGAATTTTCCTGCATCCTATTGAGGCCAATATTCCTACCCTTTTGGGGGGCACCATACTCCTCATGTCATTTATCTTTTCGTATTTTCAAGCACTCAGCCATGCCATGCCTCCCCCATACACTGGCCTCAGGCTTCAGGCAGTTTCCAGACATTGTTGGATTTCTTGGCACCAGAGAAGCCAAGCCAGCTTGGCTCAGCCGGATACAGAAGCTTACAGTATTTAGGAAAGACAAAGTAATGAAAAATATATCTGAATAACACAAGTTACCTTTCTTGCATTATTTTATCTTGCATTATATATTTTATATAAATTTATATATAAAATCCTACGATCCAGATACTAAGTAAGTCGATATCCAGGAGGCTTTCTTTTGGGAATAGTCTCTATTTCTTACTCTCTAATAATTCTTGCTGTAAACAGTAGAGATGTGGAGATTAATTTTTTATTGCGACTGATTTCAATCATGTACAAAAATCTAGTAACTATTAAAATAAACAGCCCAGCTTCAACAATGATCAATATGTAGCCAATCTTTCCATCACTCATTCATCCACCTACTCTTGCTCCTGTCCTCCCACTTCAAAACCCATCTGCCTTGGATTATTGTAAAGGAAATCCGAAGCATTGTATCATTTCATCCATAAATATCTCAGTATATACTCAGAAACAAGGGCTATTTAACAATATCACAGTATCATTATACCTAACACAATGAAATATAATTCCTTATATCATTAAATGTTATATAAGCCAGTGTTCATATTTTTTCAGTTGTCTCAAGAAATTATTTCAATGAAAATCCAAATATAGTCCATATACTGCAATTGGTAATGATTTTCTTAAATATCTTTTAATCGATATTTAAAATGGATTTTTGAATTTTTGATAGAAAGCAGAAATATCTTGAGTCATTTACATGGATAATAGTCTTAAAAATTGTAATATTCTCAGTGGCTAATCCCTCTGAATCTACTGGAAATTGAGTTGCTCTGGATGGAATGTAGTATGGTATCCTCAAGTTGTTTGTTTTTAAGATTTTATTTATTTTAGAGAGACGGGAAAGGACGGAGAAGGAGAGGGAGAGAAACATTGATCCATTGCTTCTCATATAACCTCAGCTGGGAACCTGACCTATAACCCAGGCATGTTCCTTGACTAGGGATCAAACCAGCAACCTTTTGGTTTGCAAGACCATGCCCATTCCACTGAGCCATACCAGTCAGGGTGGAATCTTCAAGTTTTGATTTGTTTTTTTGAGGCCTTTTTTTGATAGAAAGCAAAAATCCCTGTGCTTCTGCTCAGTTGTACATTGTGACTGAAAACCTCCATTCTGATGTGGTCTAATGTTAATGTAAATTGGCTTTGTTTCTTGAGTGTCTGTACATTTGTTTGAAATAAGTGTTGAGTGGTTTAGCTAACTAAACCATGTATTGTCCCACTAAGGTGTAATGAATTAAATGTGTCATTGTCCTAAAGTGTTCCGGACACCCCTTCATGTTCTCTTAGCTAGCTGGGGTCTGAGAATAGTAATAGGTAGTAGTATGGCCTTGAAGAAGGCAGCACAGGTAGACGCAAGTGAAAGCTAATGAGATTTCTAAGCAGGTGGCATCACTGAAACTTGTTTTAAGCCTGGTATATTTTATTACCTACATTAGGTATTTATAAACTTAAAGGAATAGCCAACATTATGTCCCTTACTAATGTTACTATTCCTCTATCTTAATGTTTACTGAGCAATCTATCATTTCACTTAGGAAAATGACTACATTAATTCCTACTTTGACAATGGAGAAGATTTTGGCGCAGACAGTGATGACAACATGGATGAAGCAACCTATTAGCTATGAAATTTCTCAAAAAATATTTTTATGATACAGCTTCTGAACATTTGGACAGACTCATTTCCTATTTTATTTCTGATGAGGAATGAGTAAGTATCTTATTTCTGTTCCTGTTTTGTTGGACAGTATTTGTTACCAAAACATTCAGAAGCATTTTGAGTTTACATACTAGTTGCTTTACCAATAAGTCTCTGACACTCTGACATTCCTTCTTAACACTTCTTTATCCCACTTAAGTATTCAAATGAAAATTTTATTTTTGGTATTATTTGGATTAGAATGTGCATCTTTTAATCTGTTTTTATACTTGAACAAATTATTCTTAACTGCTGACCTCATCATAATAGATTTCTATAACCTGAAAGCTGATTCAATACTGCACATGGAGCACTTTAAAAACAAAGAAACTTGAAAATAATTTTTCTTTTTATCTTTCCATGGTATGTTCTATGCTACTATATTATAACTACATAAACCTACCTAAGCTCTTACAAGTGCATATGAGGTAAGGAGTTTAGTGATCAAAAATATATACAAGGAAAAAAGCCAATCAGAGCTGTATAAATTGCACAGCTTAAATCTCAGCCAGTATAAAGACTTTGAATGAATATTAAAAATACTTGAATTTGGGGTTATCTTCATATCATGCAATATATGAATTAATCATCTCACTGTAATAAGTTTGATATTTTGAATAGTTGGGCTTATGAAAAATTAGACTGAGACATCTTAAATTTGTACTTTACGAAAGTGGTAAGTTCTAGTCATATATATCTCACTGTAGAATGCATGTGTGAGAGCTGTGAGATATGATGGCCTCTTATATTTCAAAGGACCCATTGCTATCTAATTGATTTATGTAACAATGCAGAATAAAACTCAGGTCACTTTGGAACTAAGATTAATCTTTTTTTGTTTTAATTAAAAACTAGCTCCCCTGATTTTTTATATTGGGGGGAGTGGGGAGGGATACCTAAAAACCTTAGCCTTAAAGATTCACAAATGCCAAAGATTTTGAAGGGAATTCATACTATGTATTTCAAAAATGATTTATTAATATTACCTACCAAAGCCCTGTCTGGGTAGCTCGTCCCTATACATCAAGGTCGTGGGTTTAATCCCTGCTCAGGGTACATACAAGAATTAACCAATGAATGCATGAAGAGGTGGAAAAACAAATTGCTGTTTCTCTCTCTCCCTGTCCCCTTATAAAATCAATCAATAAATAAAAAAATATTATCTACCAAAAGAAATAAATTTATTTTTCCCTTTGGGGAATATATCACCCATTACTGTCTAACCTGTGAATAGAGCCTTGGACTCTATTTCTGTCTTTACAATTAATAAACTCAACCTTGAAATTGAGCTTGATTTTCTGTGCCTTAGTTTCTTCACTTGTGAACAATTTTCTATAAAAACTGCTTAAAGACCACCCAAAATTTACCGTATGCATTCATCATCTTAGCATATAGAAATAGTCAATTGTTCATTTAAATTTAGTCTGGCCATCTAAAAAATTATAGCCTATAAAGTGGTTGAAAACACTGTTTTGAGAAACAAACATATGTTCCTCACAAAATACATTATAATCTGATTTTCCTATCTTGTATTCTGGTGGAGAAATTTTATACTTGTAACATAGCTTCCTCAGGAAAAAGATCACTTTCAAATGTAATACTTCCTCAGATAATCGAAGATGGGTGTGAGGACCATTATTAGTTCAGTGCTTTTGATCAAATTTGAATTAGTTGTTTGAAGGAGCTTATAAAAATTTTTAAAGATTCTAAATGGAAAACGAATAAAATAAGTCTACTTTAAAGCAGCAATCTACTGTACTTAGAGTAAAAAAAATCACTTAGTTTCCGTTGTAATTGGCAAATAGTCATTTAGGACTGATAGTTAACATAGGTGTTTTATTCTCTCAGCTCCTTATTACGTTAGGCTAATATTTAATTTATAATGTCTTATGTCTGCAATTTTGTGTACTTTGTTGTTAATCTGCTGTTACTGCTTGAACAGGGCAAATACACCAAAGATACTGCTTTTTCCCCCTCCCCTTTTAGTCTGCCTCCAGCATTTTAGTTCTGCAGATGGTAAGACAGCCCTTTGGGCAGTGGTTTGCTTTGTGAAGCCCCAGCCATCTCCCCACTATGTGCATTCTCTTTCCCTTTGGGAAAAATCTCTCTACAAGTTTACAGTAGACTAATTGTGAGAATAGGCCGGAAGTATTTGCAGATTTCTTTGCCAGCATGGATCTTGTTTTTGTGGCTTGAAATCTCAGAGACTGAAGTTATCCTATAGGAAGGTAACTTTTAATGCAGAGATAGAGATTATATATAAAAAAGTATATACTTGTCAGTGAAGTCTTTAAAATTGCTACCTGAAAATACTGTTACTATAATGCTTATTTGTTTACATATTAAATTTTTATAAAATAAAATTGTGTCGTTTTATTGTTTTACTTTGAATCTACTTAAATATATTTCATAAACTAATTTGTTAATATAGATTTTACCTGATAAAATAATTCTGTTAAGCAAGGATGCCAGTATCTAATACTCTTGAATAAACCACCAACAAAAGAACACTCTAGGTGGTTGAAGTCATGATAACAAACTAAGGGATTTGGCAGTGTATTAGCTTGATCATTGGCATGACAGACGGACTCACTGGATACAAGAGAGGGTAACACAGAGTATATTAACTTTTCCTTCCCCTCTACCTCAAGTGGACAGTATCAGTGGCTTGGCCTTAATACGATATGGTTAAAAGCTCTGGAGTTAGTAAAAACTTTTTTTATTAAAAAAACTAAATACAATTTGAAGATCAAGATGATTGTAAAAATAGGGGGGGAAAGGAACACATTATAAAATCCTCCATTAAATAAAAGATCCAAAAAACTTTTTCAGTTTTTGCTACTGTAATTTTAAAAAATTAATAAAGTGGAAAGGTTTTTTGTTTCATAATGAATTTTACATATAAATAGAACATATCTTTCTGACTGATCCACAACTTTCTAATAAGTCCTGGACCCTGCCTAAGGAGTCTTGTTCCTTGAGATCTAAGATCCTTCAAGGAGCATTCATCTGAAATTTGTTCTCATTTCATTGCACTTACATCTTGTAAGTAATACAGAGGATTCTGTTTCAGTATAACAAGAGAGAAATTTCAGTGGGTAAATCTTTGGCAATTCGATTGTCTTTATATTAAGTAGTTTGACACAAGAGAAAAGTATGCTTTACTCAATTAAATTCACCAGTTTCCATTTCAGATTGAATAAAATAGAAATTTTATTTTGAAGATCTTTTAAAATATGAAAAATAAGGGGCAAAAAGATTTATAAACCAGTTTTACAAATGTACATGCTAACAATGTTATTACAAGTCTATCTCACATTTATATAAAATATATTACACAAAAGGTTTACAGTGTTTGTATATATAAAAAGAATTAAATATTGCATTCAGTTATTTCTGTGGTCTAACAGTGCAATATGCACATACTTAGAAGAAAAATGATGACTTCCTGAGGAGCATTGTTGTAATTCAAAATGATTCTTATCACAAAGCACCATGTAAATACTTTAAAAAAACTCCACCTTTACCCTGTAGCATTTTGGACCCTTGCTTCATGGTATTTCTAAAATAAACTCCATCTGTATCCTTCATATTCCAAAGTAGATAATTTTAGAAGTAGATATCTTTAAAAAGAACTAATTATTAAGTAATGAATCATTACGGTTCCTTTCAATAACAACTCTTCAGGACATTGAATAGCAAATAGAGCCCAGAAAAAGAAAAGCTTTAAAAAACAAAAAGTCCTCTGGATAAGTTAATTTAACATTGCAGTCTCTAATTCTTAATGTGGCCAGCAGATTCATAGTCAATTTATTGTAAATGGTATTCATTAGTTCAAAACAAACTTGACCATTTGTACCCAGCCAAAAAAAAATCTGTCCTCCTAAAAATAGCAGATTTTGCTTCACTTGTAACTCCAACTTTTAAGTGAACCAAATGCAATGATTTGCAGTTCTGTTAATTTTATACTTGTATGCATGCATATATATTTTTTTAATGTGAAGCCTCAAATTCAGATAAGGGTTTCAACACAATTAAAATTCACAATTTTTCTTACTTTATTAAGTTTTACAAAGTAATCGCATTGGCTACAAATTTTGATGTATATTAGTACTTTTTAAGAGCAAAAATTATATGAAATGCTTAGAAATTTTTTCTTTTAAAAATGACACAATTAGAATCTATAATTCTAAATATAACAGAATTATATAATTCAATTAAAAATATATAATTCCGATATACAGAAAAAGGTAACTGCCTCCTTCAAAGAACAGGACATTAAGAAGTACATAGTACACCTCACTACTTTAAAAATAACTTCTCCTGGAAATCAAAGTACCATTAGTAAGAAGGAATCACCAACTTTCAGCAATTTCATCAATTTGATGTAAACAAAATTCTTCACAGGATATTTGGCCTATTCTACCCTAAAATACTCTGTAGTTTCTTCCCTAAAACTTGATTTTTCAGCAGGCATAATAAATACAATGTAAACTGACCAAGTTTATTAACATTGAGCATAAATTAGAAAGACCACTCTCTTCAAGAGGCCCAAGGTACATTAAAACAATATTTTAAATTTTAAACTAAGTTTCAAAAAAAAACCAAAACAATTTGCTACAATTTCTCTATTTAAACACTTTTTGGTAATTATCCAAGGTCCTCAAATACATGCAAAGGCTTTAATATTTGACTTCTGTCCTGTCTTTTATACTTTGCTACTGAGGGTACATAAAACCTCATTTACCATACATATTTATTCACCCCAGTTTGTATCAAGGCTGGAGTTTGAAATATAAAATGATCAAATAGCTGAAACAGTATTAGGAAATAATGCCCAGAAAATGAGGTGGTATTATAGATTGTAAGGTACTTTATTATACATGAAACAGGCCATCCAGACTCCACCAGAGCTTCTAATGAATCATTTTGGTTACATTTTTAAAAACACATACTTTAAGAAATTAAACGATAGAATCAATATACAATAGCTTACCTAGCAGATCCATAGCAGACCTTAAAATCTGGCACTATCAAACTCTTTAACCATACAACTTTGGCTTCTGTTACCCAATTTTGTGCTATAGTTAAAAGGTAAAAAAGGTCTAAGTTGGACACTTTCTCTGTCCAATTTAGGTGACAGAGAAACAGGTGAAGGGCTCAATAAATAATGTGTCTGTTGTTGCTGATGTCAAAGGTGTCTTTACTCCTGCTTTTGTTTAATGAACCATTTTCTGCAACAAACTTCAGAAGCAGACAATGACAACTTGTTTTAACCCCATTAATTTGCACTTGATGGTAAAAGTGGAGATGAATTTATACAGTCTGTTATAAATCCCATTGGACTGTCTGAAAAAATGCCTGCTTTTAATTCTAAAAATATTTGCTTACATATTTTATAAGGCATTAAATGTAATTAAGGCATGTTACCACATGTAACACAGCACAGTATGTAGGGAATTATTTTCTAAATAATGCTAACTGGTACATGTATAACAATTTTCATCAAAGAATTACAAAAGTGCTTTCAAATACCAGAGGCAAGTATAATGGCCTAAAAACCAGAAGCTGAGGCAGCATTCTTTAAGAGACAGATTACTTTTGGTTCTTTACCTAATCCAGTGTTCTGGTGACCAACTGGCAACGTCCCAATACTAACACCTTATTTAGGGGGTTAAATATAGTATTTAATCTCTGAGTCTCTATTATACACTACACATTGTTTCCCCACTTCTGTGTCTACTTCATGTCTTTCTTCATAGCATATATGCTAAACTTGTTTTCAGAAAGTTTAAAAAATGGAGTATTAAGTATGTGCTAATTTTAGAATCAAACATTTTTGCAACTAAGTATTTTAATGGTTCACATTAGTAAATTTTCTTCAGTTGCACATATCTGGTGGTATTCTGCTTACTAAACATTAATAACCTTAAACCAAAAACTACTTAAAATTTAAACATTAACCAATCTTAAATAAATTATGTTTTCCAAGTTGAGAACTTCCTGGACACATATTTAAATTCATTTCTGCTTAAGCACTGATAGATAAAACAGATATGTAGATTTACTGTTCTCAATTATCAACTAGCAACTGCAGGGATTTTGTACTCAATCCATTTGTAAGTGGCTCAAAAATTGAAAAGCAAGCAACCTTCGAAGTGGTTATTGAATATAACTGGTTCACCACATTCCAGAACATGTGGTCATAAACATCATCATTATGAGCTAATTGTTATGTTTTATATTGAGCAGCAGGAAACGGAGAATTGTGACTATAGAGTTTATGATCATCCTGTTGGCCAAAGGATATTCCTTTAGTTGGAGCAATTCCATTTTCCATTTCTTTCTGCTGTGATGGGGGTGTGACTCCTGAATGCAAATGTGAAGAATCCACTGTTGAATGATGACTAACATCTACTTTAGCTAAAATTTCATAATATAGCAAATAAAATACTGGCGTTATTATACCCACTATCAGCATTATCACCACAGCCGTCCACCACCCTATTCCCCAGTCTGCTCCATAATAAGGATCCTTACGTTGAATGTTTTTGTGATCAGGTTCAAAACGTATTTGTTGTGCTGTTAAGGCAGACACCACTTCATTAAGGTTTTCTCGTTTGGTGTCTGTACATTTTACTAATTGCTCTATGTCTCGGTCTACTTCTTTTAAAAAGCTACCAGCTGACTCACTGGAAGAAAGAGAATCATTAAGTGACAAAATGTCCTGTTGTTCTGGAACATATTGGACAGATGAAGGACGTGAAGTTTGTCTTCCTTTTGGAGGATGAAGTGTTTCAGTCAATGAACTAAACTTTTTTACTGGAATTTTGACAGATCTAAGGGCAAAAAAGTCTTGATCGCTGATGAGATTGTTAACCCTCTTGATATCTGCTACCTGTAAAAAAAAAATGAACAATTCTAAATCAAAACAGAGGTAACACTATTCATTCATCCCACTTACTTTTGGAGAAGGAAAAAAGCTGAGCTTAATTACTTGTGGTATTAATTTATCACACCCAGAGAGATTATATTTTACTTGCAGATATCAGTTCTGCACCACTTTTGATCTATGAGTCTTAGGAAATCACCAATTAACTTTCTGTAAACAATTTGGAAAGGAAGGATTATAGATACTTATGTTCTTTCTTCCAGTGTGGCAAGTAGGAATATAGGCAAATGTCAACATACCTAACTAAAACTACCACGGTTTATCAAAACTAAGATCCATCAACCCAAGATGCAACACTATTTTATGTCTCATTAAGGGGGAAAAAACCACCAAATATTGAAGATGCCACCATTCTAATGTCAAAGGTGTTAAAATGTGTGAAAAAGCATGTCTTAGAATTGATAAAATACATCTTTTCACTTACCTTATGAAGCCATTTTCCCAAACTTACTAGTGTAAATGCATTCTTCAACTACCCCCAAATCAGTCATTTTTGTAAGTTTTCCCTATATATTATACAGTCCTCAACCTATCTGTATATCCTGTATACCTGCCATTGTGGTGAGACATAGTAGGAGATGGTACTTCTCAGATTATCCGTTACTAGGCCAGGCCTTCTCACTAGCTTTAAAATGTTAGCCCCGTTCATCATTTCCATCAAAGCTGTAACCTAAGCTCTAACCATTTATCATCTGTTGATGTCAAAGAGGTAAAGTGAGTTTAGGATAAAACTTAAGATTTCTGGTTTGGTCAGCTCAATCGATAATGATGCTAATTCATTGAGATATGAACACTATGGAGGGAGAAAGAATGAAGGCAACTTTTATACATCTTGCCTTTGAGGGGCCTTAAACATACAAGTGGAAGATGTCCAACAGGTAGTTACAATGTTATGTCTGAAACGCAGATGAATGATCTTAGCTAGAGGTATGTATTTGTGTATTAGCAACAAGAATGGTAACCGAAGTCACAAGAGGAGAGAGATTCACAGGGAGGAAAAAAAACACAAGTAAAAGGTGACATAGGAAAGACCTCTGTGGAATGCAATACTTGAGGCATACACTGAATAAGAGAAATCCACAAAGGAGGTTAAGAGTGACCCAGAAAGCAGTATATGATGGTGATTAAAAGCACTGACTATCTGGGTTTGAAACATGGCTCTGGCACTTTCTTTAGCTGTAGGGTTTAAGGCAAGTTGTTTAACCTCTGTTTCCACATATGTAAAATGACAATAATACTACCCATGATATATGGTTGTTGTGAAGATTAATCTAAATGTATTAACATTTAGTATAGTGATATATAGTACTGTTATGCAAATACTAGCTGTTCTTAACACATTAATAGTAGGAACATCAGAAACCTGCAGTATCAAGGTCAAAGAGGGTTTTAGGAGGAAGTGGTGAATTGGATTAATGACAGATTACTGATCTAGTCAAATGAAGACTGAGTTCTTGTTGGAAAAATCAATTCCCTTGAAGTGTGCATGTGGGAGGAGGAGGGACAGAGGATTGGAGAGTAACTAGGAGATGAGAGGCAGTAAAGATAAAGGGTCCTTTGTCAGTTTACTGCCTTGAGATTGTTTTTTTCTTAAGGCAAATGAAGGTCCAACAAAATTAAAAGGCAGCCAAATGAAGGGGAGAAAATATCTACAAACAGCTGACAAAGGGTTAATATCCAGAATATATAAAGAACTCAAACAACTCAACACCAAACAATCCAAATTTAACAAATGGGCAGAGGACCTGAAAAGATACTTCATACAAATGGCCAACAAATGTATGAACAGATGTTCAATTTGACTAGCTATTAGGGAAAGGCAATTCAAAAGTACAATGAGCCCTAGCTGGTGTGGCTCAGTGGAATGAGTGCCTGCCTGTGAACTAAAGGGTCACTGGTTCAATTCCCAGTCAGGGCACATGCCTGGATTGTGGGCCAGGTCCCCAGAAGGCGGGTGTGAGAGGCAACTACACATTGATGTTTCTCTCCCTTTCTTTCTCCCTCACTTCCCCTCTCTAAAAATAAATATTTTTTAAAAAAAGTACAATGAGATACCACTTCATGCCTGTTCGAATGGGTATCAGTAAGACAAGTAATGCAAGTGTTGCAGAGGTTGTGGAGAAAAAGAAACCTTCATTCAATGCTGGTGGATATGTAAACTGGTAAAGGCACTAAGGAAAACAGTATGGAGGCTCCTTAAAAAATTAACCATAGAACTACTACATGACCAGCAACATCTCTTCCATATCTTCCTGAAATATTTGAAAACATTTATTTGCAAAGATATATGCACCCCTATGTTCAGCACCCCTATGTTCATTGCAGCATTATTCACAGTGGCTAAAACATGGAAACAACTGGTGTGTCCTTTGATGCATAAATGGATAAAGATGTGGTACAGGTATACAATGGAATACTACTCAGCCATAAAAATATTTGAAATACTACCATTTGTGACAACATGGATGGATCTTGAGAATATCATAAGTGAAATAAGTCAGAAAAAGTCAAGAACCATATGGATTCACTCATGTTGGATATAAAACTGAAATCAACAAGTGAACAAACAAGAAAAACAAAAACTAATAGACACAGACAACAGTATGGTAGTTACCAGAGGAAAGGGGGTTGAGGGGGTGAAATGTATTGTGACAGAAGATTTGACTTTGGGTGGTGGGCACACAATGTAATACACAGATGATGTATCATTAAAATTATATACCTGAAACCTATATAATTTTATTAACCAATGTTACCCCAATAAATTCAATTGCCGCCCCCACCCCCAAATTCACTGACTAACCACAAAGCCTGACCCTATTTTCTTTAAATGTTCTTTTGCTTGGTTATATTCTAATAGCTGCTCTTTCTGAACTAGGATTCCAGCATTTAGTCCCTACCTAGGTTCTCTCTGAATATTCCTGTATTTTCTGTTTTGCTGAATTGCTTGAATACATTTAGCATTCCAACCTTAGACTTTTTGGTTTCTTATTACTGTTTTATAACTGACTTATTTTTAATAATTCCTATGACTGAATATAAGTAGAATACAGCACTAACTACTCTATTTTTTAAATAATGAACCTTTTGGTAAAGTTAATTTTTTTGTTTGTTGAGCATTGCTTATCTTAACTCCCTTACCGTGTTGTATTACTTTTCCCACTAGTATGGCCAATGTCCCCTTTCCTCTAATGTTAATTGCCTTTCATCATTCATTTTAAATGAGGAATCAGCTTATATATCATGTGATTACCCCCAAGTACATTTTCTATCAGTTTCTTCTCTATTCTTACTAATGAACATTTTGGCCAAAGTCCTAATCATCTCCATTTGAATTATTCTAATACCCTCTTTCCTGGATCCCCTCCATTTCACCAGCAGGCTCCCCATCATTTTACACCACTATTGTTAAAACCATACAGTGGTTCTCTTACTGTAGGGGTCAGACTTTTCCTCAGTTATCTCAAAGTGCTTCACCCCAGCCAGTCTGTGAGGCTCATTTTTGAAACACACCTATTAAAATTTCCTGTTGTTCACCTTATTTCCTCTTTGAAACCTTCTCCACATCTTTAGTTTCTCCTTTTCACCAGCCTCATTGAAAATATAACCTATTTTTAATCATTCAGCCAGCGTTTCAAATTTCTCTTCTTCTAAAGAAAATTTTCCGGATTTATGAAATGAAAACTAAGGTCTCTGTAATGAAATTAGACCACACTTATCTCTTGGATCTCCACCTTAGCATTTTCAGCCTTGCCCCTAATTTAAAATTTTGATTACTTTCCATCACTGACCTTTAAGGCACACACTGTAATTTTCAGTGGTCCTATTTCTCTACAAGTCACATATTCATGTGTATTTAGATTTAAAAATAATTATTTAATAACGTTATTATGATACATTAATTGCCAAAAAATATGTCCAAACCCCAGCTCTTCCAACCTCATCAAGAAATGCATTTCAATAAATTTTATTCTTAAATCATAATTTGATTAATCATATATTTTGATTAATTCATATATTGATTAAATCATATATTTAGATTAATTTTAAATGCAACAATTACTCCATTCAGAAAAAAACAATACATTGGAACCTCATGGTAAAGGACATTTTTAAAGTTCAATTTAAATTTATATATGTAAGTTTATAAATATATATGTATTTCTATTTCAGATAACTGACAGGTAATCATAAAAGGTTTTTAAATATAAAAATACATTATGAAAGGTTTTGGGGATGAGGATAAAAATATTCAACAAAGGTCATCAAATAATGATATAAATATTCATCAAAAAATGATATAAAATTTCATGCTGATAAAAAACTACTTATTTTTTAATGCATTATTTCAGACAGCAAATCCTGAATTAGTGTTTACAATTCCATACGTACACTTAAAGACTATTTTAACAGTCTTATTTTACATACCATTATTGACATTATAGAAATTATTTTCTTTGTAACTAATTTAAGTCAGAAGTATTTAAGAAGTTAAAATGTGCAAGCAGGCACATAGTACATACATTTTAAAATTCCATTAGGACTATGAGAACAAACAGTTTCCATACCCATGTGTTTATTACCATGAAAACAGATTCCATGCTAATAAAGCAAAATAGAAGTGACAGAGATAAAAAAAAATGGGTTTAAATAGTTTTATATCTACTGAAATGAGAAACAAACCTTAACTTTTATCTCTCAATACCATTTTTGGGAATCTAATCTATAGAAATAAAGTACCTCTATTTAAAGATATAACGGTGGTAATATGCACAGCACAATGAAAAAACATGAGGAAAATCCTGACCATCCTTGAGTATGAAAAAGGCTTAACAATCATGGTACATTTATACTACGGAAAATTATATAGCTATATAAAATAATGAGTTAGATCTATAAGGCTATGAGGGAATATCCATGTAATGAAAAAGGCAAAGGTGACTTGCAGAGTAACAGGCATGGTACAAACCAATTTTAAAAACAAAAATCACCATCCTCCCAAGTATTTTATGTATGTACTCTTAATGAGGAGAAAATGATAACACTTTGGGTGTTTTTCAACAGTGAAAATAGAATCACAAATTTAGAAAACAAAAAATTCAACTATTTACTTAAAAATGTAAAAAGTTAACATCCACCAACATGAAACAGGCTATAGAAAGAAGAGAAAGGGAGGAGGAGGAAAAGACAAGATAAAAAACAGAATTTATTTTAATTTGTGTTATGAACAAATAATTTATTTTAGACTGCATTATGCAAAATCAAATTAAAACTTACCGTACAACAGTACTGAAGGGCTATTGCATTTAAAGTATCTCCTTCCTGAATATCTTTTGTTAATACTATAACATCATCAAGTTTATCTCTTGATGTACTTCTTCGGATTTTCTCTTTCCCTCTGGATCGAAGCTCATAAACTTCAGCATCCTCTTCCACCACATCACTGTCTGTACAATTTCCAAATGCATGTGCTTGACCACTCGAAAGAACTCCTGGAAGAGGAAAACGATTCTGATGCCTCCCTGCCATGTCAAAACCTGGGAGGGTAGGGGGGACAAGGCAGAGAAAACTTTGAAATACAGCCGATCCATTTAACTGATATTACATTAATTTTACATTCAGGATACTTTATGGTTTTTTGTTTTTGTTTTTAAGAATGGCTTCAGTTATTTAAAAATTAGGTTCAAGTTTTATAATTGTTGAAGTACAGGGAATATTTTGCAGCAGATATAAGGGGTTGGGATGAAGATGTAATCCATTCTTATAGACCATATATCTATCACAAAACATGTTAGGGTGATTACATTTTAACAAGGACAAATTGCTATAATCTTTTTTTAAGTCAAAAAATTAAGTTCCCCTTATTTTATGTGAATATCAGATAATTTTATATTATATTAACTAGTGATTATATATACACAATTTATAGTTCTGATGGAATCAATGTTTACAGGCGCGTGCGCATGCGCGCGCACACACACACACACACACACACACACACACATTTTATAAATCCAAAACATTTTGGCTTGTTCTCCATTTTAAGTTCATGTGGGGCTGGAATATCTTTTTATTGTTCTTTAAGTACAGTTGTCTCCATTTCCCACCCACCCTTGTTCCTACCTCGTCAGCTTTGTCCACTGGTCATTTATACATGTTCCTTGATGACCCCTCCCCTTTTCCCCCCATTGTCCCCCTCCTCCAGCCCCTCTGGTTACTGTCAGTTTGTTCTTTATTTCAATGTCTCTGCTTGTATTTTGCTTGCTTGTTTTGTTGATTAGGTTCCAATTACAGGTGAGATGATATAGTATTTGTCTTTCACTGCCTGGCTTATTTCACTTAGCACAGTGCCCTCCAGATCCATCCATGCTGTACCAAAGGATAGGACCTCCTTCCTTCTTTCTGCTGCATAGTGTTCCATTGTGTAAGCGTACCACAGTTTTTTTATTCACTTATTTACTGAGGGGCACTTAGGTTGCTTCCAGCACCTAGCTATTGTTAATTGTGCTGCTATGAACATTGGGGTGCATAGGTTCTTTTGGATTGGTGTTTCAGGAGGTGAAGTATCTTTTGTGCTAGCTACCTCCCTCTTTGGATCATGCTGACCATAATATTTATATTCACTACAGTAGGTGACTTCTAGATAGGTCATAATTTTGTTCTTTACCAGGGATATTTCTTCTCTTGAGCTTTCACCAAACTTTAACTTATCAAAGTCCTCCTGAAATTCAATCTACAGTCTACAGACACTGTGAACAGATTTTAGGTCACTATGTTCATACTTCATAAAAGACATTGCAAGACTGACTGAGAGATGACTTAAGTTAAAAACATGTATCAATGAATACCTCTTGTTTAATTGCATACTCTCAACTGTCATTCAAGTTGATCTATTCTCATTAAAAATGAACAATATGAGAACTAATTCCAAATTCACAGTTTTAGCTTCATATTGTTCACATAAGAACAGATCACTTTCAGCTCTTGTTGTGAAAGATGGAGAGACCATGGAAAGGCAGTAAGAGGCATTTGGACATAAAATCCTTAAGACTTAATAATGTGGCTCTGATATGAACAACAACATAAAGAAGTTAAGGATCATGCCAAGATTTCTGATGTACATCAATGAGTAAAATGGTGGTGCCATTCTCTAAGATATGGAACACTGGAAGAAGAGTTTGGGGGTAGGGGCAGCAACTCTGATTATAAACTCCTCAAAAGACAGCCAAGATGAATGTCAAGTAGCCCAGTGGATTATATAATCAAATTTAAAGATGCCTGGGTTAGAGATAGAATTTTCTGACTCATACTGCACACAGGTAGAAACCTGAAACTAAGGGTACAAATTAGATTACCTAGAGAGGGTACAGAGTAAGAAAAGGGGTTCAAGACTAAGCCCTGAAGAACTGCTACATTTAGTACCTGGGTGAAAATAATCAGTATGCAAAGAAGATGGAAAAGCATTGTTCAGAGGAGGAGGAAATCATGTGTCATGGAAGCCAAGGCAAAATGATGTCTCAAAAAAAAAAATGACTGAGTTCAGTTGTGAATATTGTGAACAAGTACCAAGTGACAAAGAGAAAAAAAAACCCAGCAAAAACAAACTCCAAAAGTCTGTGGAGTTTGTCATACAACCTTCACAGACTTTTGGAGTTGGTGTGACAATGGATTATACTTTCTATGCAGACACATACTTACAAACTTTTTGGAACAATTTCCTATAATTGAACCCAACCCTTGAAAACCAGTTTCTGACCCTTCTCTAAGGCAACATGATGGTTTAAAAACCTGAGGATTTCCATTCAGATCACACAGATAACCAATACCTCTATATTAAGTAGATTATTTCACCTATTCCTCCAGGTGCTACATTATTTATTACCATGAACTGAAATTCCTAATTTGACAGCCACCATATTAAAGAAAGCTCCTAATGCTTTACATCCAGAAAGCATTTTTGAAGGTATGATCAAGTCTTTGAAAATCCTAACATATGATATAGTGATTAAACTTGTTTTAAATACCATAATAAAGGATGTTTTAATGTAATTCTAAAGAAAGGTGAAAGAGTATCTCACCTTCACCAAAAATAGATAATAGTTTCATTTCCACGTATTTAACCATGTCTTTTCTGCCCTGTGTCTTTAATCTAGAGCAGCAATCTTCCACCTTTTCCATCTCATGGCACACATAAACTGATTACTAAAATTCTGCACACACCAAAAAATATATTTTTGCTGATCTGACAAAAAATAGATGTAATTTTGATTTATTCACACTGGATAGCTATTGTTGTGTTGGCTGTGATTTTTTTATTTTATTTTACAATTTAAGGGAGAAGAGGTCAGTGCCCCTACTGAAATAGTCAGGTATTGTATGTTTTAAAAATTCTGTGGCAAAATGGTTGAAAAATTGCTGACCTAGGGAATGAATGTCTGTGAATCCTGAGGTTCATAAGGCACATGTTATACATATGTATATTTTTCTAGGGAAAATATTTATTATATTCTCAAAAGGGGTCCATGACTTTAAAAAGTTAAGACCCACTTAACATACAGCAATTTAAACATGGCTATACTGTCCCAGTTCCGCTGCCCTTTAACTTTTTCTCCTTCCTATTTTGTTTTTAGAACCCCGAAGTAGCTTAGCGCTGCAAAAAGTCAGTGACCGATGCCCAAAATCCATTTTAGATATTTATATCAATCTCTGCCCATGACATACTGCTAAACAATATTTGAAGACTTAACTTTTCCTGTCTCACTATTTCTTAACTCCCCCTTATAATGAAATACAGGCGAATACCACAAACTGGTATTCTGTTTCTGAATAATCAAGAATTGTTTGAGTCTGGCAGAAATGGAAAGCTAGACTTTGGCCAAGGCAGATAATTATCTGAGCCAACTATATAGAGATCAGAAAGTACACAGTCCTCAAGTCCTCTGACTCAATTCTCTTCACTCATCTTAACTATTTTGGGCGACAAAAAAAAAAAAGCAAGAATCTACTCTTCAGAAAACTGAAACAAGCCTGCCTGCTTAAGTAAATTACAAGCGGTCACAAAAATTAGCAATGGATTCATCAGCTCAGTCTGTATGTGAAATGGTTTCCCAAACACCTTCGTTCTGTGCAATAAACGCTGCTGGTGTTCCTCTTCGACATTCCTTAAACCGGGACAAATAAAAGGGATACAAAGTGGTTCATCACCGGGGCAGTATCACTGGGACCATATTCAGAGCCAATTCAGTTTCTAAGAATTTAACTTCCCTCTCTCACCATTCCACAAGTCTAGTTTTTCCTTTCCCTGTTATCCCTTATGATTATTAAATTTAAGGTTTTTATGTCACATTGTCACACCTGGACGATGTGGAACAGATGCCGTCAGCGAACATTCAATACAAACACCAGGTTGTGGGAGAAATAGTGTTCGGGAGGCAAATGTGTCGCTCTGGTAATCCGGTAAGTAGAAGTCCTTCCTCTGAGCCTCAGCTTACCCAACAATGTATCAATGGGCTTTGCTGGGGCTGGACTCCAAGGTCTCTCTAACTCTGGATCTCCTCCAGCCATCTCCGCCACCACTGCGGCCAATGGCCCCGGGTCTCCTCCAGCCGAAGGGCCCGCTGGGCCCCTACCCCGCCGTCTCAAACGGAGCCACTCCCCACCTCTTGCCGCCATGTTTACCTGTCCCGTTAGCAAGTGGGACGCCACGAAGAGACAGCTGCCAAGCCCTCCTCCGCTTCTGCCGTCCCAGGCAAGTTCATTGCCGAAGCCGCCTTCTTGACAGCCACCGTCCTCCTCTTTCTCTTCGCTCGCTGCGGCCGCCTAGGCCAAAGTCCCCGCCTTCCCGGCTCTGCGCCGCCGCCACGTCCGCAAACCTGCCGTGCGTCATCGCGTCGAGTGGGCGGAGGTGGGAAGGGGCGGGGGTGGAGGCGGCGAGCGGGGCGCGAGGGCGTACTCAGAACCCGGGGCTTTTCTACCGCAAGCCTGAGCAAGACGCTCAGGTTCTGGGACCTGGCATGGGCAGGGGGCGGGGTCCGAGTTCCAGCACGGCCCCTCCCCCTCCCGTTGGCCACGCCCCATCATCCGCAATAGAGGCACTCCTCCGGCCAGGTTTTTAGGCTAACTCGGGGATCCAGGGCTACTTGTCGGCAGTGCCTTTGTCCCAAGTTCACAGACCTCTGACATAACTGTGTAGAAAGCATTGACTGGAGGAGGTACTGAGGATTTGTCGAGGGCTCCTGTGCATTTCTTTTTGCGCTGCATCTAGCGGTTTCTGTAGGGTGAGGATGGACGCTCAAGAGCACAGTGTTCACGTCCACGTTTTAGAAAGTTGTACTAGGTTTATAACTCTTAATGTTGGTCTCTAGACTTCTGCAGAAGAGACAAAACCTGGAGAAAAACCTTAGGCGGCGGAAGACGGTGTTTCAGCCTTTTTGTTTATAGGTGAGGAAAGTGAGCCACCTAGAGTCAAGCTATGGGAAATGTTTGCCCTCCAGCCCTGATTCTCAGGCTTCCAATTCTCGTGAACACAAGCTGTCTACAAATTGTAACTTACTTTGTTTTGAAAAATAAGTGAAAGTCATTGGTAGTTACAGTTGATGTATATGAGATGTTAGTTTGTGTTATAACAAACGCATGACTTCATGAATTTCCTCATGGGTATGATAATGTATTTGATTTTATGTAAATAAGTGTAAAGCAGCAATTTTTGACCAGTGCCTCAAGAATTTTTACAACGTACAACACTTAACTATTTAGTTAGGTGTACTGACCTCTTTTCCCTTAGAATGTTAAATAAAAAATGACAACAGCCAATACAACAATAGCATCAGGTGTGAATGCCATATTGAACCATAAATATATAGGTCATAAAATAGAGTTGCATCTTATTGGTCACATCACATAATAAGGTTGCATCTGATTGGTTAATTCTCAATACCAGAAATCCTTATAGACAAGTACAGGCACCTGATTTTTTAAAAAGTCACCTTGGAGCAAAAAGGATAGATAATTACTATTATTATTTTTTGTAAATCAATTACTTTTTGTCAAACTAGCAAAAAATATATTTTTTGTTGTGCTGCTGAATTTTAGTAATTAGTTTAAGTATGCCATCAGATGAGAAAGGTTGAAAAATCACTGGTGTAAAGTGTTTTAATGATGAGGCTAATGTCTCCCAGTATTGAAGGTACAGACTTTGTACTTTGATGACCATATTACTATACATTTTGGATCCAAACGGGTAAGGTGCATGGTGCAGAGCATTTCTTTTCAAAATGTCTGAATAATTTATGCATCCTGAAGACTTTGAAGCTTTGTTTTAAATTATTTTCAAAGAGTATTTTTTTGTGTGTTATGTCAGTAAGGTAAGAAATTTGGTATTGCAATTTTTTTTGAGGGTGTAGGCACAATGCTACAAAAAGAACTTCAGGAGAGGAGGACTTAAAAAATTATTTTAAGTTTGTCAGAACTGTTCCATGCGCTATTGCCCTTGTGACACCCCTGTCTGTAACCATTTATCATGGTGACATTTTCTCATCAGTAGACAAAGGGTGTATTCCCTACTTGAAGTATAGGGCTTCAGCAGCTCAGCCTTCATGAATGTTAATACAACCTTCTTTCTGCATATAGGTTACTTTTCTTATTTTAGTGTCAATAGGCAGTGGAATCCATGTGAGAGCCCGAGTGATAGCATTTCAAGCACTTCTACAGGACTGCCACCTGTTTCTTTCATATAAATACTTTCTCAATGGTATCTGCATTCTCTTGAGTTGTTATTTATATTTAACGAAGATGCAGTTATTGAACTTTTTACAAAAAGATTCTATTTTATTATTAAAATAAACAAAGAAGGCAGTTAACCATGAATTTTGGCCAAGTTCCAAAAAGCTAGTCAGTAGGAACAAGTACTTTGTCTTGGAGAAAAAGGATGTCCCCAGTGCTCAGCAAAGCCAAAAGGCTTTTCAGTTTTCTGAGATCTCATCTGACACAGCTTTCATTAAAAGTTGTAGATGAAAGAATATATAGTTTCTGGGAATGTGTGTTTCTGTCACTAACCTTTAGATTTTGTGATTTGCTCCAGAATAAACATTATATTGTAATGAGAGTGTAAATTCATGCAACTGGTTAGGGGTATTACTTGGCAATAGTTAAAAATGCAATTGACTGAACTATTGTGTTGCTAAATAATTACCTTGGATTCACATACAGAGACATAAGGATATGATTTAAATGATATGTTCAGGAATTTTTACTATAGGATAGCCAAAAATCTGCAAATTTTCTAAATGTTCACCAGTTGGATACTCTGGAACACTTAAATAATGCAATATTATACTTTTGTTCAAAACAATGAAGTTGACCTATATTTTCTGATTTACTCATTCATTTACCTAATGATTTTTATTACAGGAAAAATATATGTGAAACCTCTGTTCTAGACATTGAGAATACAGTGCTTAAAAAGAGTAAGTTTCCTTACTCATGGAGCTTCCATGAATAGGCACATGGAAAGATCTCCAAAATGTGTTTTGAAGAGAAAAGAGTAAGTTGCCCTATAGTACATATAATGATATTGTTTTAGAAAACAATTTAAATGTACACCCCTACCTCACACACATTTATACATCTGTGCAGGGAGATGCATTTTGTTTTTGTTTCTGGTAAATTACAATAGGAATTTTAATTATAGGTTGAAAGGACTAGATGTGGCAGGGTAATAGTCAGGAGACTTTGCCTTTTCATCTTAGAGCTCTCTATATTGATCAGATTTTTATTACCACATGCTTTTATTATTTAAAAATATTTAGACAATGCATTTTATTGTTGAATAACCGGACTTGTATCCACAGTTAATAAACAGTCAACCATCCATCTCTTAATTGTTCCTGAGTCTGTCTGTACTTTGTATTCAATAAGTGAGTGCCTGGAGAAAGGAACCAGACCAGGTCCCTTGGAAATCAAAAAATAAAAGATTAACAGAACATTGAATTATTTTTATATTTCTTCTTGATTTCCCTGTGCCAGATTTCTTTCATCCCACCCTTTTTACTCTACGTTCCTCCCTATACCCTTTTTATCAACCTTTCTTTCTAATTCTACTTTCTATCAGTGAAACTGGAAGAGACTGTTGTACATGAAGGTAATACTTAAACTCAAATGAATATAAAACTGGATTATGGGGTGAAACCTAAAAAATCTCCCATCATCTCTGATCTTCAAACAATCTATATACCAAGAAATTATTGGAATTCTTCTCTAGAAGTCTTGGAAAAAAACCAACAGACTGCATGATTTAGACATGTTCTGCTATATATGAAACTAGATGACCTCCCTAGTTGCTATTCACTCTGTGGTTTTAAAACATAGTGATTATCATAATCACCACTCTCTGATAATGTGGATAAGAGTCAAGCATACTTTAGGCATCCAGAATTGCTTATAAATGCTAGTAAGTAATTCAAGGATGTTAAATGATTTGACAATGACTATCCCGATGGTTCCGTCCATACAGACATTACTAGATAAAAACTAGTCTCACAAATATGATCCTTAAATTCTTCAGCTAAGTAGTCAGTGCATATAGAAAGAAATAGTTACATGTTTATAATTAAGTAGACTATAACTTGAAATGCTTTGTTTCCCATGATCTTTACAATCACTATTGCCACATAAGTAAATTGGTGCAGGTAAATGCCCTCTAGAACCTATAACGTGCTGGCTTTTGTGTCTACTCCTCTAAAGACCTGAGACGATCAGATGGAGTTTAATTAAGTCATTTCACCAAAGGAAAACATGAGAGGTGACCCAGTATATGGAATTGGATGAGGGCAGAAGGTGATTATCCAGAAGTGGAGAGCAAGTCAAAATAGAGTCTAAAGGGCAGACATTGAATTAAATTTCTTAGATGTTCAGTATTGTGTTCATGGAGTTGGGAAGATTAGGGAGTGGGGAATCATAAAGGGAGAATGCAAGAGGCAACAGCATCTTCTCATTCTATTCTGGGTCTTTCCAGGTAGTTAGAGATTACTTCTGTGACAATTCTCAGCTTAACCAACTGTATCTGAAAAACCAAGCAAGAAGTTCAAAAGCAAAGCTTCCATGCCCACATAAAGAATCACAGAACTGTGAAGTATATATACATAAAGCGAAAGTAGTGCTTATCTGACAAAATATAGACAGAAATTACATCAATTTATTCCACATATATTAATTAAATACTTCAGTGTTTCAGGCCCTGCTTTAAGCACTGGGGATGTGTGCTGAACAAACAGACCCTTGCTCTCATGGAGCTTATACTCCTGTGGTGGAAGAGAAAAAAAGAAAACAAAATAAAGAAAGGAAACATTAGTATGTTCCATGGTGATAAATTAATGGAGGAAAAGTAAGTAGAGAAGGAGGTTTGACTGTTTTGGGGCAGGGGGAGTCTGTATTTGTAATAGAATGAGTAAGGAAAGACCTGCTTGGAAAGATTTAGATTAACACAGGCCTGAAGAAAGTAAGTGTGTGAGCCATGTTGGTGCCTGGGAGAAATTGCTGGGCAGAAGGAACAACCAAGTGGCAGCCAAGTCCCTGAGAGGAATACTGCCTAGTGTATTGGAGGGCAGCAAGAAGGTTAGTATGGCTGGACTGGATTACATGAGGAGGCAGAGCAATAGGAAATGAGGTTAGAGGGAACCAAATTGTATAGGACTTTGTAGGCTATTGCCAGGATCTGGGCTTTTACTTGAAGCAAGATGGGAAACCATGGGAGGGTTTTGAACAGAGGAGGATATTATGTACCTTTTAGAAGGACCACTTAGGAGGGAGATCAGTTAGCAGGCTATTGCAGTAACTCAGTCAAGAGGGAAGTAGGCTTGAGTGGGAGAAAAGATCAAAT